TAATTTGAGGAGCGAATGTTCATGTTTCTTGTCTGTAAACCACACTTCCAAGTCTGGATATGAATATCATCTCCTTAACTAGATGTATGGCCTAAGTAAGCCACTACTTTCACCATACAAGAGACCTGGCGGTTAAGAGATTAAGAATGAGATCATGGTGTATCCAGGGTTTGTATGAGAAACAAACATACATCAGTGAACCCTTTTGTTGCTGCTTGAGTATATCGTGGGGAGAATACACCTATATGATGTATACACCTTCATTGCCTCCGGGGGCTCCATCTCCATGTCAATCTGCTGCACGGCTCAATACTACCGAGCAGGAATTGCTCACTGCACACAGATTTAGAGCTCGCCAAGAATGGATTGACAAGAAGTATCCCTGAAGAGTTGGAACTTCTGTGCTTCAAAGCTTGTATGATTCTTTGTTTTTATGTTTTGATTTAATATTGTTTCACATATTTCAGTTTCATAGATGGTCTCTAGCGTCTTGCCGAAGAGATAGCATTCAGTCATGCAAGGAGAGAAGCCAAGAAGCTCCACCACCAGGTTCTCTCCAACACAGTCTTACCAGCCCAGTGAGGGTGGGTCCCGTTTGCTTGTATAAATTTAAAGATTGTTCTATTCAATTATTATAAGTATCTAAAAGTACAAAATAAAATATACTTTTTATTATTTTATTATAACAGAATTATCTTGATTGTAATGCTTAATATGACCACATAGAAGATTAAATACAGTTTCTATATATTTTTTTTACCAAATGTATTCTTGAAATTAAAAGCTATATAATCAATTTTTTTTATCATAGCAAGGAAGGGATATTCTCACTATATTCCATGTCGATTTAATATAGTTTTGTATTAACTTTGGTAGCTAGATCAATAAAATTTTATGAGAGGTTGATTGTATAAAGGAGTGAAGTTCAACTGATTCAACAGTTCTGAATTGTAACCAACCCAAAAATCTAAAATATTAATTATAAATAATAATAGAAATAAAACTTACATGGTTTAACATATGTATATAATATATCAATTAAAGTTTGTGCAGTATAGTCAGAACCATAAACATTTTATCTAAATCATCTTCAGTTCCTTTAAAGACCTACTAACCTTCTATTCTTCTACTATGATTATAATTTTTCTTACCAAAGTTAATTTTATCAATTTCTATAATTGACTATCAATCTTAATGTGATAACACCAATATCATGACATAATTTATACCAATTCATTATTGTCTGCTCACTTGTAATACTACACTCATGCTGGTGCCCTTGGTGATATCTGTTATATGTGATCCATGCCAAAATCCGACTATAACACTCATGAAGGTGGCCATGTGCCTTATAAGAATGATTCTTGTCTGCTCTGACTTGCTGAAGAGAGAGAGAGAGATAAAAGAAATGGGAGTTCTTCTAGAAGGACAGAAGATATTGGATGTCTTGTCATACTACCACCATCTTTTCCTCGATGATGGCGATTGTCTTATTTAGGTTTTGAACATTAGGTGATAGAATCTTTGTGAGAAAAGAAGATTGTTGCTAGAGGGTGTGGAAGTCATTGACCTAGAGCAGTAGGGAGAAGGATCTCTAATCCTCACTTTGTACTTTGCAGTAACTTGTAACTTGTTTGAATTGCATGCTGACAAAATAGAAAAGTAAAGCAATACAAACCTACAAGATAGTGTGATTTGAGTCTAAGAATGGCCATGAGGTAAAGGTATTGTAAGATGGAGGAATCGGCTAGAAAAGTGGCCAAGAGAAAAAGGAAGTGAGATGCTATATGGGAAGAAGGCATGTGGAGAGGGCCAAGTGAACACTTCTATGGAGCCCTAGAATTGGAGGCTACTAGAGATCCACAATGGAGCAATTAGTTTTCTTTAGGGGCTACATACCAAGAGGAAGATTCTCACCCAAGACATGGCGGCAATCCAAGTTTGGGCTCTTAGGTTTGTGTGATATGCCCTACTAAAGACTCATGGTACTTGGTGAGGTTGATGCACACGAATGAGAATGGTCTTAGAGGAATCTTTATTGGCTTCAACTTCATTATTTTCCTAAGCTGTATGCATGCCATGTAATCCTTCAATAGCCGCAGAACTTGAGTCTCCATATTCTATAGAAATAATCATTGAAGCTGTCTACTAGAGTGCTTTTGCCTATAGATTTCTAAGATCATAGGTGAAAACTATGTATGTTGCATTTGACTGGAGCTAGATAATCAGCATCAAAGTGTTCAAATTATCAAAAGTTTGTCTTTAGATTTTTTAATAGAAATTCATCTTTTTTTCCTCCATTGTTTTAGTATTTCATTAATAATTTTACAAAGTCCTCAAAACCCTGGAATTAATCTTGTCTAACCCTGAGTGCATGTTTAATCTCATATGCCCATCAATATATATATATATATATATATATATATATATAATAAATCTTGAGTTCAAATCGTATTAGCAGAGGTTTGGTCAACTTTTGTTCTTGATTAATGAAAACATCCTTGGCAAATGCTTTCACAGTAGTAATGGTGAATATACTCTTCAATAAATAGAAAGAAATAGAAAATGTATAATAATTTTTAGGAATCTTTTAAATAAAAGAGATTTGTGTGTATAGATTAATCTTATGTTTATAATTTTAGACATTTAAGGCATTTTAATTTTTTGCTAAAAATTAATTAATTATCATAATAAAATTAAAGAATATAGTAAAGTTTTACCACTTTTGTTTTACTACTTTAATGTGCAATCACCGATTAATGCAATCTTCAAAGTAAACCTTTATTAAAACCTTAATAGTTCTTTCACAAAATCTATTGGCCCGTTATTCCCATGAAATTTAGTAAGAGGTGTGCTAGCTATAAGACATAACCTAATGACTGGAAGAGGAGTTTGATTGGAATTCAAGGCTTGTTCCATATCCTTCTGGAAACACCTCTCAAGTCAGTGGGCTCTTGGAGTCTTGCTCGTTCTCACTAGAGCCTGCCTGGGGCATCAGAGTTGCCTCAAGCTTCTCCAAAGCTTGAATCACTGGAGGTAAGAAGGCTGTTGGCTGTCTGGGACTAAAGCTCATCACAGCCAGAAGAGCTAGTTTTCAATGCAGATGAATTAGACGTTGTGGCCATGGTTCAAGCTACGCGGGTTTGAGAGCTTGACAAACGCTGGGCTCTCGGGCTTTCTATCCAATTGCCCGCTGCTTAGGGCTAGAGGTCAGTTGTAATCACCTGAGCTAAACTTTTTGCTGAATTACTGTTGAGGCCACAACACATTCTGTAGCTTGAGTGCGATGGCTTGCAAGTGGGGATTGTGTTGTTGAGGCTCCACATTCATTATACCAGCTATAACAATTCTTAGGATCTGCAACTGTACTGAAAGATGACCCTTATACATGATAATGTCCACCCTTAAGTGTGAAACTTTTGGAAAAAGTGTAGGCTGGAGTCTGGCAAATATTATTTGTATTTTATACATAATATTTTTGAGCACTCAGAGCAAGAGCACGCAATCTTCAAAGCCGCATGACCTATTCTAAACAAAGAGAGTATATCTCATCTCAGGCGACACCGTTCTCGTCAAGGTGAGTGATAAGTAGAGATGATATACTCTCGTTGTTTAAAATAGGTCATGCGGCTTTGAAGTTTGCGTGAGGGCTTTTCCCCTCCAAGCTCGAGAGTGACAACCTCAGGCACTCTACACTCCATCACGTATGACTTTGTCTAGAACACGCTGTCAGCTTGGTCAAAAGCTCGAGGTGGAGAAATAAAGCACCGGTCTAAAGGAGATGATTGATAAGGTTTAATTTGAAACTCTCATGGGAAATGCAGTAGTTCATATATTTGTTTGAACTTTAAAGCTAATCAATTTAGTCCCGCGTTTTACTCTTGAGGTCAAGCCGAGAGCGCGTTCTAGACCGTATGTGATGGAATAAAATAACATGGGAATACACATCTCACACATCATTCTCGAGCGATGGAAGGGAAAAGCTTTCATGCAATCTCCAAAGCCGCAGGAATTATTTGTCAAAAAGAGAGCAAACTCTTCCTATCTCTCACCGTTATCCTTCCAGCGGCGGGAGTCCAAGTCTTTCTTGTACCCGCTGTTTTGAGCTTCCTGGGCCTCGATCCGAAGCCTCTTTCCTCCTCGGGGCCCTTCATATCTTCTGCGGTTGTGGAATCGTTCCTGCGATGGGTCTCCGACGTCACAGCGAAACAAGCGATCGCTGCTCTCTTCCCTGGCAATCTCCGCGGCCTTGTGGACGGTGTCCACGGCCTCGCTGCTTTCCACCGCTGCTCGTGTCCACCCCGGCGAGGAGATTTCCAGGTGGGAGGCTCTTCACATCAGGCCGAGGGTGTGGTTCGCGCTGCTCAGCGTTGCACTCTGCTCGTTGCTGATCCAAGCGCTTGAGTTTGCCCTCAGTTTGAGCTATCTTCACGACGAAGTGAACTTGATATTCTCGCTGATGGCTTTCGCTGAATACTTATCCATGGTGGCTTCACTTGCTGCTACTGTTGCGGTGCTGGATGGATTCGCTGGGGTGCGAGCACTTCGAGAAGCAGCAAGGCTTCTCCACCGAAATCTGCCCATGGGCTTGGCGCTGTGGGTGATGCATTACTTTGTGTTTGACGTGGGCGCTCTTAATAACTTAGCGGCCAGCACAAAGGAATGGTGGTGGATAGTGCTCTGGATCTGGTGCCTGTAGGCTCTTTGTGGTGGTCGAGCGTACACGTAGCGTTTTATTTCTCGTGCCAGCCGGACGAAGAAATGAAACAAGATTATACTCCGTTGGCTTGAGAGACTCTTAAGCTGGAATGTTCTTTGAATGAAGTGTGTGGCAATTCCTTGCGAATAAAACAAAACCGATCATCGTTTCTCTTTCGCAGATCATAGAGAAACGGTGCCTAGTAACATTTCCAGGAGAAAGTTGTTCATAATATTGTCTGACAGAAGGAACCTCAAGATATGGTGAAATCTAAATCATGCATCATGATTTTACTCCTTTGGCTTGAGCACACTTTTTTTTTATAAATTCCTGGCGAATATGACCGAGCTTTACAATCTCTGTCGCAGATCATACAGTACCTGGAAGTTTTTAGTAACAAAGATATGGCACCTCGAAATCTAAACCGGAAAGTCATGCCACGGAACCCTGTTCGCAAGTGGACTGCCTTGCCAGTTAAGTGGACGTCCTCCAAAATGCCAAGGGTAAAGAACAAAAGGAGAAAATAAAGCATTCAGCAAAATTCCATGTTTCGGGAGAAAATAGCCCAAACGTACCTCTATGATCGAACCATCGCACAGCTGATTGTGACTAAAATCTCCGTAGATTGGTACTAAAGATTCTGTGGAAATGCTCGTGATTCGCTCAGCAGTGATCAAGAAACGACGCAAGTATTCTACGACAATGGAATCAATCCGACATCAGCAGTAGTCGACGGATAAAGTGCATAGCTTCCAAAAAGTGAAGCCACTTACCTTTCGTTGGTGCTCGCGTTGACAACTCAATTCTATTTTGCTGGAGAATGGATCAACAACGAGTTTGCGTTCACTGTTCTGTGACAATCCATCGTAAAGATCCAGAGTTGATTCTGACAAGCCTGCGATGTAGAGATTAGTCAATGGTCGGATATAACGCCGTCAAAAGGATCCCACCAAATGCCAAACAAATTCTGTCCAGCACAAGCTTTACCGCGACTTGCATAATGCTCCTCCGCATAGAATCCACTAGAATACATGGTGAAGACGAATCGATCCTAGGAACAACATCAATGAACAGCGGGAAGAGAGAAAGAGACGGGAAAAACGTTTTAAGTACCTGATAACTAGCGCTGGCCCAGATTATAAACTCCATAGCCTATAGCTCGCTCGTCTGTATTCAAAAGGAATGTAGCCATTAGTCAATAAGGAAAAACTCTGCGGGGAACAACAAGGTTTGTAGCTATGTGGCTCCTTGCCAAACTCCAAAATAGAAACTCGCTAGAATTCAAGTACCTTGTGCTCGCTTCCAGCATAGCCGATTGAGAATATGGATCACCACCAACAATGACAATGATTAGCAGAGGCCAGCCAGCAGCTACACATTGTTGAGCTCAGCTCCGCTCATTCCCATCCTCTCCTCCACCAAACGAATATTTGCCACGTATAATCTAAAACTTCCATTATGTTAGTTGCAGCACAAGAGAACCTCATGCCAATCCCGACAAGAGCTAAGTAACGAGTATCATTGAACAGTAGCATACACACAATATCTTACCTTGTACATACAGTCAGAGCACGTTAAGAGGAGGACAAGGGAAACGAAGGCTGCTCAGAGAGAGAGGAAAAGAGAACTTAGTGGGGAATAGTGACCTCTAGCGGCTTCTGGCTGGAGTAGACTGGACACTATAGGCTAAGATCCTCTAGCTTACATACACCTCTCCCTTTCTCCACTTCAACCAAACAACAAACCCCCAGAAAGGAGCACCCAGCGGCAGGAAAAGCAGGCAGAAGTGTGTTATGGTATCAAAGAGAAAGGACCACAATTTGCCCATAGCTAGCATACCTATGTAGCTTCTCATTTTGTCGCGTATACTTCCACTCCGCCACCTCCACCTTTGAGGGACTAGACAAAGTCGCGCTCCTGTACAAGCGAAACAGTCAGCCAGCCACTGTAGGTAGTACCAGAAACTTTAAAGTAGGAGAACTTAGGAAAACGAGCAGGAGCTTGATTGAGAGAGGCATCACACCTAAGCCACGGTGAATCGATGGAGAGAACATTGACGTCATTCCGGTAGCAAGAACCTGCGAGTGAAAACACCAGTTTTAACTTAATTCAGAACGCGGCGCTCACCTCTTTAAATAAGTCTTGGCATTAGTCACCAAGAACATCCTGTGCACTGCAGAAAACGAGAGCGGTAAGATGCGTAAGATTTTGACGCAGTCTTACCGACCAGGGAGAATAAACAAGAAATGGCTGTACCTTGTAGAGGAAGCAGATCCGCCTTGGAGCCCGAAGTAGCAAGAGCTCAAAGATCGTCTCAAAGTCGTAGCCAACGCACTTAATAAGCTCCACAAATTTAGTCTCGTGCACCGGCCCGCACTAATCCCACGGGCGAGAATCCTGAATCTGGAAAACTCGTGAAAATCAGTGCTGCGCTCACCCAAAAAAAGAAAACATTATCCACCACAAAGAAAGCAAAGTTGGAGGGGCGAAAAGGCAATGAAAAGGAAACAAGTATTAAAATATGAACATAGTTCTAGCTCGAGGACCACACAGTGTAGTAGAGGAGCGGGAATATATCGTTCTCAGTCACTCACCACACAGGTCGAAATCTCTCATGCTTCCTGTATGAGCGATAGAAAAACAATTCATTTGATTAAATGAACTCTGAGGGGACCATGCCATAACTGTCAGGAGCCGGGAAGAAAAAAAGTAGCCATAACACTTTTTCTCCCGAGAACGAAAAACAAAAAAACAAACCAGAAAAGAGAAAGAGAGAGAGAGAAAAAAAAAACAAGCACAGCTCTGTAGTCAGGAAGACAGACAGGAAGAATATAAAAAGACCACACACACAGAAATGAAGGAGGAACAACTATGAGAGAGAGGGGAGAGTGAGAGAAAGAAAGCAGCAACAACAGCACCACCAATGCATGGCAGCAGCGAAAAGGAGAGTGCTAAGGCTTCACTCGGGCTCAGGCTTGTACAGCAGAGAGCGCCTCACTAGTTCTTTGTTTTCTCCTTCTCTCTCTCCTTCGCTCTTATCGCTGCGCTGCCATTCTTTCTACAAGCACTGGCGGCTCTCTGCTGTTTTTCTGGGGCTACTGCATTGATTCTGGCCCTGATGGTGAAATCTGGAGGTCCTTGGCCTGAGAAAAAGTGAGTAACACCCAGGGCATGGCTGGAGAGGCAAGATTTGAAAAAATAAAATCAAAGTTTTACGCTTGCAGCACAGCGGCAGAGAAAAGTTCGCGAGGGGAGCCACTTGGTTCTAGATGACATTGCAAGCAGCAGGGAGGGAGCGAGGGGCTTACTTGTCTGTCGTCATCTCCGGTTGAGGTGGCCAACTTTTGCGTAGTCGCTGCTTGGATCGCTGCTTGGATCACATTGTCCTCGTCCTCCCCCTGCACATGAATACAGAAAGGCTTTAGTCGTAGAAAAACAGCTTTCAGAAAACTTAAGAAAATAGAGAGGGAGAGAGAGGGAGAGAGAGAGAGAGAGGGAGAGAGAGAGAGAGAGAGAGAGTTAAGAGTGATGGAGCGGTGCTGCCGTGTTAGCCCGCCGCCTGCCTGATTGCTTCTCTTCTGCTGTAGCCTTAAAAGAAAACATCGAGGACCGACAGGCACTGAGTGGTGTTTTCCGCATTCCCCCTCACATACTTTGGCAGCATATACTTCAGCAACGAGACCACATTTTGATCAGCGGATCTATCGACGGAGTAGCCATATGGTAGCTGTTTTGTCTCTTCAGGCCCGCTGTTGATTGATTGCCAACTGCGTGCTTGTAATGAAGCGGGACTTGTCCTCCAAGCTCGCAGCTCTAGCAGGGAAAATATCACCACGGAGTTTAGAATAAGTCCCGGCAGAGAGAGCAAACTTACCGGCATTTGGAAGAAGAAGAGAAAGAGGAGAAGGAAGAACACGGCACCGCAAAATGGGATGCTTCCTTCTCCTCTTCTGGACGCTGCTGCTCGGCTCGCTCCTTCTCGGTCAATCCGTATCGCCGTCGCCGGAAGCCAAGGCTTTGCTCGCACTCCTCGGCTCGGCACAAGGCAGCAGCAGGAGCGTACTGGAGTCGAGTTGGAATGCTTCGCAAGGTGATCCTTGCAGCGGTTGGATTGGTGTCGAGTGCTCTTCTTTGCGTCAAGTTGTCAGCGTCTCACTTGCTTACATGGATCTTCAAGCCACCATTCCTGCTGAGTTTGGACTTCTCACATCGCTGCAAACTCTCAACTTGTCCAGTGCCAACATATCCAGCCAGATCCCTCCGCAGCTTGGAAACTGCACCGGTTTGACGACGCTCGACCTCCAGCACAACCAGCTCATAGGGAAAATCCCGCGGGAGCTCGGGAACCTGGTCAACCTGGAAGAGCTCCACCTCAATCATAACTTCTTGTCCGGAGGGATTCCTGCGACGCTTGCTTCTTGTCTCAAACTCCAGCTTCTCTACATCTCCGACAACCATCTCAGCGGCAGCATCCCAGCGTGGATTGGAAAGCTTCAAAAACTCCAAGAGGTACGAGCAGGAGGAAATGCCTTGACAGGTTCCATACCCCCTGAGATTGGCAACTGTGAGAGCTTGACAATTCTGGGTTTTGCTACGAACTTACTCACAGGCAGCATTCCGTCCAGCATTGGCCGCTTGACGAAGCTCCGCTCGCTCTATCTGCATCAGAACTCGCTCAGTGGAGCACTCCCAGCGGAGCTCGGAAACTGTACGCACCTCTTGGAGCTGTCCCTCTTCGAGAACAAGCTCACAGGTGAGATTCCATACGCGTATGGCCGGCTCCAGAACCTGGAAGCGCTCTGGATATGGAACAACAGCCTCGAAGGCAGCATTCCTCCGGAGCTCGGCAATTGCTACAACCTCGTCCAGCTGGATATCCCCCAGAACTTGCTCGACGGTCCCATTCCAAAAGAGCTCGGAAAGCTCAAGCAGCTGCAATACTTGGACTTGAGCTTGAATAGGCTGACCGGATCAATCCCAGTGGAGCTTTCCAATTGCACCTTCCTGGTCGATATCGAACTGCAGTCCAACGACCTGTCCGGAAGTATCCCGTTGGAGTTGGGCCGTCTCGAGCACCTGGAGACTTTGAACGTCTGGGACAACGAGCTCACTGGTACAATCCCGGCAACTCTTGGGAACTGCAGGCAGCTTTTCCGGATCGACCTCTCCAGCAACCAGCTCTCGGGGCCACTTCCGAAGGAAATCTTCCAGCTCGAGAATATCATGTACCTCAACTTGTTCGCAAACCAGCTGGTTGGTCCCATCCCGGAAGCTATAGGCCAGTGTCTCAGCTTGAACCGGCTTCGTCTCCAGCAGAACAACATGAGCGGGAGCATCCCCGAGAGCATCAGCAAGCTGCCGAATTTGACGTATGTAGAGCTCTCCGGGAATCGTTTCACAGGCAGCCTCCCTCTGGCCATGGGAAAAGTAACCAGCTTGCAAATGCTCGACTTGCACGGCAACCAGCTCTCTGGGAGCATCCCAACAACGTTTGGTGGCCTTGGCAATCTCTACAAGCTCGACCTTTCCTTCAACAGGCTCGACGGCTCAATTCCTCCGGCACTAGGCAGTCTCGGCGACGTGGTGCTTCTTAAGCTCAACGACAACCGGCTGACGGGATCGGTCCCCGGAGAACTTAGCGGGTGTTCCAGATTGAGCTTGCTCGATCTCGGTGGCAACCGTCTCGCTGGAAGCATTCCTCCGTCTCTAGGAACCATGACCAGCTTGCAGATGGGACTTAATCTCAGCTTCAACCAGCTCCAGGGCCCGATTCCGAAAGAGTTTCTCCACCTATCGAGACTCGAGTCTTTGGACTTGTCCCACAACAATCTGACAGGAACTCTAGCGCCGCTCAGCACCCTGGGCTTGTCGTATCTCAACGTTTCCTTCAACAACTTTAAAGGCCCGCTGCCCGACTCCCCGGTTTTCCGAAACATGACACCCACGGCTTACGTTGGCAACCCGGGACTTTGCGGGAACGGCGAATCGACTGCATGCTCGGCCTCGGAACAACGGTCACGTAAGTCGTCACACACTCGAAGAAGTCTCATAGCTGCCATTCTCGGGCTCGGCCTGGGACTGATGATACTGCTCGGCGCATTGATATGCGTCGTCTCTTCGTCCAGGAGGAACGCCAGCCGGGAGTGGGACCACGAACAGGATCCACCCGGCTCCTGGAAGTTGACCACCTTCCAGAGGCTCAACTTTGCACTGACTGATGTCTTGGAGAACCTCGTCTCGTCGAACGTCATCGGCCGTGGGAGCTCGGGAACGGTCTACAAATGCGCGATGCCAAACGGAGAAGTTCTCGCCGTGAAGAGCCTGTGGATGACGACTAAAGGCGAGTCCAGCTCCGGAATCCCATTCGAGCTCGAGGTGGACACGCTGAGCCAGATAAGACACCGCAATATCCTTCGTCTCCTCGGCTACTGTACAAACCAGGACACCATGCTGCTGCTGTACGAGTTTATGCCAAACGGCAGCCTTGCGGATCTTTTGCTGGAGCAGAAATCTCTCGACTGGACTGTCCGCTACAACATCGCTCTTGGCGCTGCCGAAGGCCTGGCATACCTCCATCACGACTCGGTGCCGCCGATAGTCCACCGGGATATCAAGTCCACCAACATTCTCATCGATTCCCAGCTGGAAGCTCGCATAGCAGACTTTGGAGTTGCCAAGCTGATGGACGTGTCTCGGAGTGCCAAAACCGTGTCGAGGATCGCTGGCTCATACGGCTACATCGCCCCAGGTTTGTACCACCTTCTGTTTTCATTGCCATCCGTGACTTAGTGCTTTACGCATCCCCTCCAGAATACGGCTACACCTTAAAGATCACCACCAAGAACGATGTGTACGCATTCGGTGTCGTGCTGCTCGAGATCCTCACCAACAAACGAGCTGTAGAGCACGAATTCGGCGAAGGCGTCGACCTCGTCAAGTGGATACGCGAGCAGCTTAAGACGTCGGCTTCCGCGGTGGAGGTGCTCGAGCCGAGGATGCAAGGAATGCCCGACCCCGAAGTCCAGGAGATGCTCCAAGTTCTCGGGATAGCACTGCTTTGCACGAACTCCAAGCCATCTGGAAGACCAACCATGAGAGAAGTGGTTGTTTTGCTCAGGGAAGTGAAGCATACCTCGGAGGAATCGTCGGCTCTCAAGGTGTCAACACCGTTGATAGCGAGCCAGAAAAGCAGCCATCCGGAGGTACTCGAAGTTTCATCGGTATAGAAACTAGAAACCGGACGAAATGTCCATATCCTGTAATTTTGGTTGCCTTCCTCTTTCTCTCCTTCCGGATAAAAGAACAAAAAAAAAAAAAAACACTTCTTCTGGAAATTGACTGTCAGGAAGGACGCGAGAAATAAAAAATCACATTCGAATGAATGAAGATATATACATGCACCACACAGAAAAGCTGCAAAGAATAAAGAACATTCAAGCGGCAATCCTATCCATTATCCAATTTCCAGCGAAAAATCACTGGCGATGGATTTACTCGCGCGCTAAATCGCAGCGCGGCCAGAGAACGAGCAAGCATGCGATAAGAAGAATCTCAAAGCCCTAAGAGAGTTACCTCGATCAACGAAGCTCCATCGCTTTGACCTAGCACTAAAATAAGAATATTCACGACAGTGAAAGGGTTTAAAGGGAGAATGAACATACCGTCAAGTAACGGAATATACAGCTGGAAAGTGGATTGTGGGTTTTTCCGACCGTCTATGTCCGTGCGCGAGAGAAGAACCCTAAACGCGCGAGCGAGCACGTGTAGCGCTGCGGTGTAGCGAGCTAAATCTGCAAATGCGGCATCGGCTGCTGGCAAGGAGCAAGAAATTCGTCTTAAATCACACCAGGTGAGTGTTCTCTCGAAGATTTCTAGCGCAAGGGAGGTTTTCTTCCCGGATTTGCTGACGAGTGACGCTGTGACAGGATACTACTCCATGGTTAGCATCAGAAGGCGTCGATTAATCGCTGCTTCCGCAGGTTAGCTTCTCAATCTCTCCTTTTTTCTCCATTCTCTTAGCTCATTTGGCTTGTTTGCTTGCACAGTGATTGTTAAGCGACGGAAGAAGAGAACTTTGCGACCTTGTACTCCTGAAACAAGCAGCAAGGTATGGAGTAGCTTCGTTCGCAAGAAGTAAAGATCTAGGTAGAGAGGAACTTGGTCGGTCTTGTTTCTTATCGCGATTTGTTTCTCTTTTAGAGCCTTTTGGCGAAGTTTTCATCGCCTACTGGCAGTGGAGCGGGGAATGGTGCTCATTCTCGTTCTCGTAGTACTGGTAAGCGATTGATCAAAACAATCACAACTATGTCGAGATACTTAAAACTTTCTTCCTGGTGTGTAGAGTTTGAGATAAAGAAGCGAACTTACCAGAGGAAGAAGCACAACACCTTGTGCTTGCGAGGTGTTTATTTCAAAAACATGAAGTGGCAATCCGCGATCAAAGTCGGCAAGAAACAAGTGCACCTTGGAACTGTCTCCACAAAGGAAGATGCCGCTCATCTCTACGACAGGTTAGCTAGTTTCTTGGGTATAGTTTCTATATCTTCTCCTTCATTGCGTGAAGCCTCTCGCTAGTCCTTCTAACTTTCGCTTCGCAGGGCCGCTTACATGTGTGGAAGGGTCCCAAACTTTGAGCTCTCTCAGACCGTTAAACTCGAACTGGATGCTCTCACCTGGGAAGAGTTTCTCGATCTCACGAGAAAGGAGATTGCAAACAAGAGTAAGCCTCGTGTTTCATTGCCACTCAGGCTAAACTCATGTCTCTAGAGTTGCGAAGGAGGATGGAGGCGCAGCAAACCAGGCATGGGCAGCTGCAGCAGCAGCAGCAGCAACAGCAGGACGAGGAGCAAGAAGAGGCTTCCGTTTGTAAGTTTAGTGTCGAGGTACAAAACTATCAGTGCGAGCTGCTTGCTCCATCCTAGAATCATCTTAGCCACTCCATCTTTGTATTTTTACAGCATCACTCTTCGAAAGAAACTGCATCCACAGATCAGAGCGTCTAGTCTTTGAAGTTGGAAGCCAAGACATACGAAGCTCCGTTCTCCGGATCGAAAGCGACGAGCTCATCAAACGCACACTTTCCAATGGAAACATCGCCGTGAACACCGCAGGAACTTAGCAGCGCCACTCGAGCATTGGAGTGGGGCTCGTAAGGCATGATATCAATGATCCCTTGAGCATCTTTCAGATGCCCAGCTCGCCCCAGTTGATCCGCCAGGCAGGCGTAGTGCTCCATCTTGGGCGCCACCCCAAAGTCATCTCTCATGGAATGGAAGAAACTCCAGCCTCGACCGACCATCCCAGCGTGACTACAAGCCGCGAGAACGCTCAAGAGCGTAACTTCGTTTGGAGCGCCACCTTCCAGACACATCAAGTTGAAAAGATGGATAGCCTCGCGCGGCCGATCGTTCTGGGCAAATGCTGCAACTATAGAGTTCCAAGTCACGGCGTTTCGCTTCGGCATTGCCGTGAAGACCCTCCACGCATCTCGAGCGCTGCCACACTTTGCATACATGTTTACGAGTGAGTTGCAAAGAGTAACGTCGTTTGTTTTGTCAATCACGCTTTCGGTCATGGTTTTGTGAACAAGTCGAGAGGTGGCCAGGCTTCCGAGGCCGGAGCAAGCGTCTGCAACGCTCACAAAGGTGACGTTATCGGGACGAACACCCGAAACGTCCATTGTTTTCAGCAGCCCAATGGCTTTCCTGCAGTGCCCATTATGGGCATATGCTGCAAGCATAGCGTTCCAAGATACCAGATTCCTCGAACGCATCGTTTCAAACACCGCAGCTGCTTTTGCTACGTTGCCGCATCTTCCGTAAAGTGTCACAAGTGATGTTGCAATGAAAACGTCGGATTCGAAGCCAAGAACTGTTGCTTCTTCGTGTAGCTTTTCACTCAGAGACAAGGAGCATAGCATCGCAGCAGCATCTAGGGCAGCCAAGAACGTGAGCTTGTTCGGCTGGAGGCCCTCACAGTCCATCGAGACAAAGAGTGTAATGGCCTGTTTTGCTAACTCATTGTTTACAAATCCTGCGAGCAAAGCATTCCAGGACTGTAAGTTTACACACGGACATTCATCAAAGGTTTCTTTGGCCTTGGAAAGGTTGCGGTCTTGAGAGAAAGCTGCCACCATGGAGTTGAACGTTACTACATCTCGAGATGGCATTCTCTCAAAGGTGTCTTGAGCATTTCGCATATGCCCTGCTTGGGCATATGTCGCTAAAATGGTATTCCACGTTTGAACATCCCTTGCCGGCATTTGATCAAAGACATCTCTAGCACAAATGCTCTGACCACATTTTCCATACGTCGCAATTAATGCGTTTCCCACGTAAACCGCCCTTCTGAAATCAAAGCTCGCCAACTTTTCACGAACTTCTTCCAATTCCTCGACAGTCGAACATGCATCGATTGCTGAAACGAAAGTAATTTGATCCGGCTGGAGATCCATTGCATGAAACGTAGCCAAAGCAGACGCGGAATCTCCATTTCTGGAATATCCCGCAATGACGGCGTTCCAAAGGGAAGAATCTCTCTGTGGAGACAGGTCAAAAATGTTCTTTGCGTGATCCATATAGCCGCATTGTGCAAAAGCATTGACGAGAATCGACCAGCTAAAAGCATCCCGATCAAGTATTAGATCAAAGAACTTTTGAGCTTTATCCAAATGCCGATTTTGGGCATAAGCGGTAAGCATTGTGTTCGACGTGACAGTGTTTTTAGTCTCCATCTTCTCAAACATAACTTCGGCTGATTCAAAATCTCCAGACTTCCAAAACGCCGCAAGGATTGCATTAGATGCGATAAGATTTCTCTGTGGCATTCTATCAAAGACAAGCCTAGCGTCCTCAAGATGCCGATTTTGGGCATTTGCCACAAGAAGGATTGTCCACGAGAAGATGTTCCTGTGCCGGATCCTCCCAAACACGAATCGAGATTCCTCAATGTTGCCGCAGTTCCCATATGCCTGGACAAGAACATTTCCCAGCATTGTATCATCTCGATCATAGCCATTCTCTCGCAGAATTTCGTGAAGCCTTTTGATCCGGGCGAGGGACCGCTCTTGGGAGAAACTGCGAAGTAGCGAACAAAATCGATGCTGCTCGCGCATCCACTACCTAGGCGACTCTCATAAAGTTAAAAACTTTTTCAAAAGGACGATTAGAAAAAATGCGCAGCCGGGGAATCGAACCCCGGTCAGTACCGTGGGAGGGTACTATGATACCACTACACCAGCTGCGCAAGGTTGACAAATCTTAACCTTTTAATACCTAAGAGCCCAAGAACTCGTAAAAACGTCGAGTCAAGCAGCCACGTGGACATATTTGGAAACAACTTTGAAATGTTGACTGTAGAACATACCAGGAACTTTAGGTGATCATCCATTCATGTTGCCCATTTTCACTAACCATGCCTGGTTCCATTTGCTTCCATGGGTATATGTAGCAGACTATCATACCAAATGGCAACTTGGAGCCAGATTTAACATTTAAAATGTTAAAACGCCCTAGGGCTGCCTACTTCATCCACCTATCCCTTCTACTGTTCTCCATCTGTGGACCATCTAGTCTTGGTTTTACCATCCAAGAAATGGAAGGTGCATATATATGTCTTTTTGTGATTTTGTTATAATTTTGTAGAGAAAATGAAGAAATATTTTTTGCTTTTTTTTCCATTTATGTTATCTGCTAAACAAAGCACCATAGTAGTGTAACTCGAAGTGATGTAGATGACGCTTTAAACATAATATGGGATAAATGCATAAAACCTTATAATAGAGGTGGAACCATATATTTGGACAATGGATCGCTTAGTGTGAGAATTGAGGCAATAAGAACTGGGCTATTTCTAGAAGTTTCAAAGAATCATACACCTACTAGATTAAACTGTTAATAAATTTTACTAAGAAAATATAAAAAATTGTCTCATTCATTATGATTTTTCTAGTTTTTTTTTAAAAAATTCTCTTTAGTGCCTATATGGTATAAATATTAATACAGCATGTGTAAAAGTTGTGTACTGACATAACAGTAGCTTATAAAAATCTGAATGATTTTATGGGGTAAAAAGGGTAAAATAAGCAGAAATCACTTTCAGCATGAATATTCTCAATCTATTATTTTTCTATGGTTGAAATTTAACCCAATCAATGGCTAAAATTTTCATTTATATTAAAGCACTATTTATAATCATAAACCTTTATATTTACTTTTCATTAACTAAACCATACTTGTGGTTTTCAAATTAATGGCGCCTTCGAATATTCCTTGCACATTTCTGCACGTTTAGGGTTTCCAGGCGCTCGAGAATGAAGAGGATCCGTCGTCCGTTTCGTAGGGATTTATAGCAATGCGGTAGCGATCAATCTTCTCCCCTGAATCCATGGCTCCTCCAGCACCGCGCGCGCGCGAGAAAGCTTGAATCCCAGGAGAAGGGAGAGTGTCTATAAGCATGTGTCTCTCCGGCAATGGCCTCCGTAGCCTCATCGTTGGAGTGGCATGGCTTGAGCGCGAGGATGAGAGTAGCAGCGCCGTCCAGGGATTTAGGCGGAGGAGGGTGGCGAAGATTTGGAAGCAAGAGCGCAAGGATCGTGACACGAGAATGTGTTGCGATGCCTAGGAATTTTGGATGTCCTTGTTCTTCGTCCTCCAAGGTAAGCTTTACATATTTTTCTTTCGTGTTAGTGTTCTACTTATATTTCATTTCTTCCAGCTGCCACCATCTCGTTTTGTAGGTGACGAGCTCACGCTTAAGCATCTCGTTTTGTAGGTGACGAGCTCACGCTTAAGCGGCATTTGAGATCTAAGACTTTGGCATCCAGGAGTTCTAGGGACAAGGACAATGAAAACCGGCCATCTTTTCCAATTGCCAAGCCTTTCGAGAGCGTGGCAGAGTTTAGCGACAATTTCCTCGACCGTGTGAGTAGCTATATTTTCAGGAGGCTGCGGACGCTCTTTAGTCCATACTTCCCGAAAAACTTCGACATCTTCAGCTGGTTGCCCGTGAAAATCCACTCGCGTCTCCACAGCAGTGAATATCTTGTAAGCGTCAGGTCTGGAAGAGATTTCTCTTGTCGCTCATCTTTTGTTTTTGCAGGCTATTATTTTCGTGCGTGAAGCATTGATTTTTGGATTCTTTTATGTTGTCTTCATCAAAGTCGACTCCTTTTGTCGGTGGCTGAATAAGTAAGTTGTAAGTTTTCTGTCAAAGTTTTATCTTTTGCCAGTCCTTAGACGAAATTATGTTTACACAGGCTGTACATAAGGAACACAAAGCCGGAGCAGCAGGAGGTACAAAGTGAAGACTATGAAGACTCCAGCTTTACAGCAGTGAGGGGTCCGATCAAGTTAACAGTTTTGTTATGGGCTTCCACAAGATTGTGAGTGAACAAATCTCTATTTTTGCTAGAAACAATTTTTACTAGAAGTTTTTTTTGCAGTGTCAACGTACTTACACCGCTCAAGGTTGGTCACTATGTGATCGGGAAAGTCCGAGCCATTGGCCTCGTCGTTGCTGTGATATGGTTTTTACTTCGCTGGAAGCGAATTATGGTTGATCATCTTGCTTCAAAGTCGAGAATCGATGCGGTAAGCTTCATGAGGATTGGACATTTTCTTAGCAGCTAATGTAGCTGTTTTGCTGCAGCCTCGTGTTGTTGCAATCGACAAGGTGGCTTCGTTGTTTCTATATTTTTTGGCAGCATCAAGTATTGCTGAAGTTTGTGGGTTTGCATTGAGCTCGTTGCTGGCTGTCGGTGGTATATCTGGTATTTTTCCATCGTCAAATTCTTTTTGTTTTTTTTTTTTTTTGGGATTATTTTAATCTTTTCGTTTTCTATGCAGGTTTGGCCGTCGGTCTGGCTGCAAAGGAGATTGTAAGCAACGTTTTTGGCGGGGCTATTCTTTTCATGACACGACCATTCGTTATTGGAGAGCGGATAAAGGTGAGTGACTTTACAGGCCACAGCTGGAAATGTACCGAACATTTGCTACACGCAGGCTGGCTCTTTCTCGGGAGAAGTCCAGGACATTGGCTTTCTTCAAACCAAGCTACTTGGTTTTGACAAAGTTCCCGTACTCGTTCCCAATCAGGCCTTTATCAACCAGGTCTGAATCATACAGAAACTCAGAACTCGTACTTCTATCTCTCACTAGTTTCATCCAGCCATTATTCTCTTCAGGTGATTATCAATTACTCCAGGGCAAAGGACAAGCTGCTCGAGGCAACATTTCAAGTCAGAAACCAGGACATCTTCTTGATCGAGAAGATAACTAACCGCGTTGTCCAGTACTTGCGGTGGCACAAGGAGGTCGACAAGGGAAGCCAGCCTCCAATGTGCTACCTTAAGTCCATGGGATCGCTCGGCCTCGACATAGGACTTCTTTGTATCATTCGAGCTCCGGTAAGTTCCACGCTAAGTGTTACTTTCTGTTCAAGGATTTGTTTTTGGTTTTCGTCGATCCAGGGAGGTCCATCTTTCTTCAAAGCGCAGCAAGAGATTTTGATTCAAGTAGCTCACATAATCACTGAGGAGGGGGCATGCTTAGGCACGAGTGGACCATTCATGCCTGTTGTTCCAGAGCAAACTCCTCCTCCCGAGGGGGAGCAACCACGACCACCCGAGACCAAGATTTCATAGCTTTCAACTTTTGTACACTGTAAATAGGAAGTTATATATCATGCGAAATAAATAAACTGGTTTGGTTTTGCTAATATAATATGCACATTTTTGTATTCACAATTTGTAATTAATAAAGAAACTTTATCACAATTAGGAATATATCACAAATAGCAAAAAGAAGCGTAGCTCTTCTCTAATCTTTTGTTATCTCTCGTTATCTCTTGTTCGCTCTATAAGAAGTTCTCCAAGGTATGCCTGGAGTTTAGAAACTAAACAAGCATGGCAATGGTAAGCTGAAGAACTAGCAAAACCTAGTTTTAACTATCAACTATTCTGTCCAAATGACAGGTAAAGTGATTTCCTGCCATTCAAAGCTTACTTTACAGTTTGTGTGTTGTGTTCTTACAAATGCTCAATCAATAACAGCACACACTAAAATGCTCCTCATGGAGAAACACTTTCAAATTGCTGTGAGAATCTCATTCACAATGGTGTTTGTTGTTGTTGTTACAAAAATCGCTTACGAGATCATTCTCAAGCTTATATTTGCAAGCCTTTCAAAGGCCATTCCAAGATAGTGTTAATGTTGAAGGAGTTGGAATAAAAAATTATATATAAAGATTGTATCTATGAAAGATTAAGAAAATGTTTACCTTCATGTGATTTTCCAATGGGTTATGAAAGAGAAGGATTTGTTATGGATAGTCAAGTTAGTACAATAATAAACAAATTGACTAAAATAGCCTAGTTAGATAATATAAATAAAATTTTATAAGTCTCCATAGGTCTTAAAAGTTAAATTAATTAAATCAGATATTGTTAAATTTTGATGATATTTTATAATTAATATATTTTTATTTAATCATGATTTATGTAATTATATAAATAAGATAAATAACTTAATAATTTGTTATATTGTAAAGTGATTCTTGGATAAAGCCCTAAAAATTTCTTTACCAAATTCATTACAAAATATTTTTTATTCTAATAATGAACAATAAAAAAATCCACTCTTTTTTGTTTCAATCTTTATCCTTCTAAACCACTTTCAAATATATATATTTAATAAATTTTTTACATATAATGGAAATGATCAGGCTTGGTCCAAATTTATTTGGAGTGCGCTATTCTGCTCGGTGTGGACACTGATCTTGTGATCATAAGGGTTTTGTAAAGAGAATGTTGTTATACAAAATTCAATCGTATAACAACATATATTCAATTTGGCATTTATGACATTTTGTGCAACTTCTTTTAAAACCTTTATAGATGAATTTACATCAATAGTTTTAAATTCATATTATATCCATCAGTTTAATAATGCTTTCACTTTGATATAAAAATATTTCTAAAAAATAAAATAAGAAATTTAACATTACAAAAAAAGAGTTAAAATATATAAAGTTAAATTTAGCAAATAATGCAACATTAAAATATTTCTTTACTATATTCTTGATTGAATGTTTAGCAGAAAGGATATAAATTTTATATTGATCAAACAAAAATAATTATGTATGTTATTTTAAAGCTAAATATGATTGATATCAATTGCATTTAACTGAATTTTTTATTATTGTTATTCATATACAATTTAATGCACTTAATAAGAAAAAATAGTTTAATTTTTTAAATAGCATATGTGTGTAAAAATGGTTCATCAATGGCAAAAATCTTATGTTCCAAATTACGGTATTTACTAATTTTTTATATATTTTTAACATCAATTAGATACTTTTATGTACTGGTCATAATTTATATACTCTTCCAAATGAATATTAACACTCTAACATTTATATTCTCAAATGATGTCTTTTCGATAGAAAAATAACACATAATTAGCTTTTTTACATTTAGTAGTTTTTTTATTACTACTTTCAATTTCTTAAAGTATTTTCTATTTATTTTATAATTAAAAAAATTTGTAAACTTTTTGGTAATATAGCATTTACATGGTTGGTCAATAACTACAATAGATTTATTTAAATATATGCAAAATGGAAACAATGATATATGAAATTAAATATGGAATTCAATTATTTAATCAATACTGAAATTAAAACTTTATAAAATAATATATTCGTATAAGCCAAAACTAATATTTAAAAGACATGAAAACTTTTCATTTTATAAAATACTCATAAGTGTATATCTTAAATATTTATGTTAATTTTTCACAAGTTTATTATAAAAGTTAATAATACTAATTATTTAATTATACTACAATTCATATGAGTCAATTATTAAAAGCTAAAAATTCTAGAAATATATTATCAGTTCTTAAAGCCTATCACGAACTACAAGAAATATTATCGTGAAGTACAGGAAATAGTAATGAGGTAAAAGCACACGAGAGAATATTCTGGGAGGTCTGGCGATGGAGGCGCATGTTTGCCCTCTCCCACTCGGGGAAAGGGTGGAAGCTGTGGATGATGACGATGAGGTCGCTTTGATCCTTCACTTGGGCTGCGAGCAAACACATGTAAGTTTCATTTCGTGCTTTTCTTCTCTCCTGCATTGGACTCTCTTGGCATTTCTAGATTCAAGAGACCGAAGCTCGTCCCCTCAAGGAAGAAAGGAGGAAAATTTTCTTGACAAGAAATGTGCCCCCGTGCTTCCGATCTCTGCTCGTGGATCTCCAGAGGGATGGAAAAGCTCGCAAGCGGAAGCTCTTCAATCGGGGCAACGATGGAAACTCGAAGGTTCTCAAGACTTTCCAGCGGCGGAAGAAAGCCGAGAAAGCCACAGCTCCTCCTCCGGCAGAGAATCCATCGCCAGCTTCTTCGATCAAAGCGATCCGATATGATCGCACACCACCACCATCTTCTTCGTGCTCGCGCCTCCGAACCGGCGGTTTCACATACCGCAAGGCCTGGGTGTTTGATCTTCCCATCCTCAAGGAGCGGCGAGCTCTGGATCTCCTCTCACGCATGGGACTGGAGAGATTCGCGAGGGAGCCAGTGCCAGATCTAGACAAGCCCCTCTGCGACGAGTTCCTCGCCACTTTCGACGTCAAAGCCGCGAGTGGGATCGTCCAAGGAAAGGTGGTGGTGGTGGACGCCGCGAGCGTGGCCGAGGCTACCGGGTTACCGCTCGGTGACGATGAGATAACGCTGGGAGCTCCGAGCAAGGCCCAGGAGCTGGCGCTCCGAAAGGTGATGACCGATGCCAAGGAGAAGAGGACGCGGGGCTACTCGATCCAGCACTTGGCGTTTGGAGATCACGTCCAGGAGATGCAAGCCATCGCGACCATGCTCATGGCCAAGCTCGAGTGTAAGAACGATTCCTACCATCTCCTCTCGGCCGAGATGGTGCTGGCGCTGGACAAGTCGTACAGGATGGGAGTTAAGATGCGATGGGCGGAGTTCCTGGCGAGGATGATCGTCCGTGCCACGGCCACCATCGCCATCACCAAGAGCAAAGGAAGGAGGCTCGCGTTTGAGTATGGAGAGTGGCTGACCAAGATCATCAGGAGCAAGCTCGGCGAGAGTGATGAGCCTCGCGGTACGATGACGCTGTCAAGAGTTTGCGTAGAACAGGGAAGAACAAGCGAAGAAAAGCAAGGAACAAGCGAAGAACAGCGAGAACAACAAGGAACCAATGAAGAACCGGGAAGAACAAGCGAGGAAGTTGAAAGGGATCAAGAAACTCTCGAAGCTAACAAGAATGGTGACGCTCAAATTCTCGAAGTTAAGGAGAATGGTGACATCAGGAACGAGGACCTGGAAGCACACTCTCAAGAACAAGCGATGGAGATCGAAGTCCAGGACGTAAACACCAGAAAAGAACCGGAAGAAGATGGATCGAACGCTGGAAAGATGGTAACCGAGGATGGAGCTAGCGGTGACAACAGGAACGAGGAGCTCGAGAACCTGGAAGCACACTCTCAAGAGCAAGCGATGGAGATCGAAGTCCAGCCGCCACAGGAGGACGTAAACACTAGAGAAGAACTGGAAGGAGATGGATCGAACGCTGGAAAGATGCTAACCGAGGAACGAGACGCTGGAGCTAGACTCTCCGTAGAGAAACAAGACGCTGGCGTTCAAACCATGACAAGCGGGGACGATCTAGTGACACAGCAAAGGCTGGAGATTCGACGTCTACGGGCGGAACTGCGAGAGATACTACGCCGAGACACCGAGGCGAGGAAGATGATATCCTCCATGAAGACTGCCTACGTCAAGTTCAAGCAAGAACTCGCGGAACTGAGAGCCAAGACGACACTGCCAGAGCCTACGAACGAGTGATCTAGCTAGCGATGCAAAAATCAATACACGTCTTAAAAATCTTCCAAGAAACGACGACAAAGAGACGACTCTTCCTTCTCTCCTCTCTCTCGTGATGACATGGTATTGCACTGGACAAGGAAGTAAAAATTCTCTGCGAGAACCCGGCTATGCCTGACCGACCAAGAACTAAGAACTCTCTCTAGCTACGACGGCTGTGATATGACGACGAAGACGAACCAAATGCCCCCGTGTGCTCCCCTCTCTCCCCCAACTTCTCATTCTTTCTTACCGTCAGCTTTCACGTCGTCGACCGCTGGCTTCTCCTTCTCGTCGTCGTTAGCAGCGGGCTTGACAGGGTCGGACGAGAGATCCTTCACGGACAGCTTCTCCAGCGTCTCGGCCACTTTGGACTCCTCCTTGCTCTCTTCTTCGGTCGCCTTCTTCTCGCCTTGCTCCTCAGTGCGCTCCACGTAGATGTCCTTGAATCTCTGGGCATCTGGAAAACCAAACGATTTAACACGTCGAGAAAGAGAAAGGTGGTGTGCTTACTCTCGACGCTGCCGAATCGGACACACAAAAGCTCCTTCTTCACTTCGCCGTCGGAGTAATCCATCGCGTGCCATACCCAGGTCTTGTCACTGCCAGCGTGCTCTTGCAAAGTCATTCCAGGAACCACTAGAAAAGGAAATGAAGATCAGTACAATGCAAGTTCCAAGTTTCTTCTACTCACAGTAGTGATTCGCACAGATCTTCAGCGTCTTGTTCTGTCGCATCAGTACTCTCGTCTTGTTCGTCTCCTTGTCCTTCAAAATCTTGATCACGCCGGTCCCCCGCTCCTTCCACACCTGATCATACCTGTACAGCCTCGCCTTCCTAGAGAAAAAAATCCATCCTTTCACACAAAGAACTCACAAATCCAAGCAGAGCACTCACATATCCAGTAGCACCTCCTCATTCTCCTCCCCGGTTTTCACAGCCACTTCCTCAAGGCGCACAATCGGCGCGATCTGTGCGCCAGTGTCCTCCTCCTCCCCGGCGCCAGCGCCGTGCTCCTCCGCCGCTGCCACAGTCTCCTCGTCTTCCCGATCGGCCATCCCGGATCTCTCGAGCTGCCCTGCCGCAAAAAATCCACAAACCCTAGCAAATGGAGCAATCCCTAGAGCACAAGACAAGAATATTCTTTTCGTACGTCAAATGTGCTGGGTCGTTCGTACCATCCCTTTACGAAAAGAGATCTTTTGACCACACTGGTTGAATGATTCTACCGTGTCCTCGAAGTCCTTCTTCCAAAAGAAACTTTGATCTAGCGACTGCGAAAGCGATCATCTATAGTTTTTTGGATAGACCCGGCGACCTCCAAAATCTCTCTTTTGCAGCACGAATTTGTTTCTTCTCTGGAAATCACTCCACAGCCGCAAGGTATCGCTTTCATCACCCACCGAGAAGAATTCTATGGAACTCGCTCGCGATTCAAGCACCTTGGGCTGTGAGACAATGGTTTCTCTATTCCGTTACAGGACTTGTCTAGTTACCAGTCTTTTTCTCCGGTTCTTCGTGGTTTCCTCCAAGCTGACCTTGTCAAAAGCTCAAAGAGCGCCTACAGCTAGTGCCTGACTTTGAAGAAGCGATGAAAAGAAAGAAGAAGAAGAAGAAAAAAGTGGTGAGATAGCAGCTTTTCTGGAAATTCCACCTTGAATCGATCGTGGATGAAAGCCTCACGCGGTTTTCTCGTTGCTTGCCGAGCAATCAAGTCGAGAGAGTATATATACAGACGCTTGATTTGTCATGAAGAGTCACTTCTCGAGCTGCTCGTTGGTTTCTCTTTCTCTCTTGCGTTTGCTCCTTGGCTTTTTAATCGGAAGGAGTTATAGCATTTCTCTTTGAGTCGGGAAGAGGCAATGCAGCTCGAGGGATGGATGCTCGTTCCAATATTCTCGGCAATTCTGCTGAGTTTTTCTCTTGCTTCTCATGCCAATCCGGTCGAGATAGAAAGGTTCTACGAGTTTAATGTAAGTTTGTCAAGTTGTGTTGTCCTTCCAGCTCTTGAAGTTTTCTCATTGCAGATCACAAGATCGCAAGTTACTAGACTCTGCAGTACGAAGAACATCGTTAACGTCAATGGACAGTTTCCGGGGCCCGAGATTCACCTCGATGAAGGAGACATGCTCGTTGTCAAGGTCAATAACCAGGTCCCGGAGAACATCACACTCCACTGGTAAAATCTCGTTTTCAATCCCATAGAAAACTTTTCTCACGTACTCCATCGTGTTCTTGCCAAATGTTCGGTTTTGATCCAAGCACTCCTGATTAAAAACTAGAAGAAACGAAGAGGAGTAGCTTACTGACGTGACTTTGACGCAGGCATGGAGTTTTCCAGAATCGAACTGGCTGGTACGACGGCCCTGCTTATGTCACGCAGTGTCCAATCCAATCTGGAAGCTCCTACACGTACAAATTCGTGATAAAAAACCAGCGAGGAACTCTTTGGTGGCATGCTCACATTCGGTGGATGAGGGCCACAGTCTATGGTGCGCTGATTATCCACCCAAGGCCTGGATCGAGCTTTCCATTCCCAGCACCAGACGCTGAAGTACCAATCCTCCTAGGTAAGGAAGAAGAGAAGAAAAGCTAACTTAAAAGAACTTACAGGTGAATGGTGGCAATCGGACGTCCAAGCCGTCTTGAATCAAGCTTTAGCATCCGGCGGTGGTCCAAACGTCTCGGATGCTTTTACCATCAATGGCCTCCCCGGGCCTCTCTACAATTGCTCTGGAAACGGTAATGAAAAGAGTAAATTTTCTCATGTCAGACTCTAATTTCTCCTGCCAGATGTATACGTACTCGATGTGGAGCAAGGGAAAACGTACCTCTTACGTATCATAAACGCTGCGATGAACACCGATCTCTTCTTCGGCATCGCCAATCACAAGTTGACGGTGGTGGAAGCCGATGCCTCGTATCACCAGCCTTTTGAAACCGACTATATCGTCATCACTCCCGGACAGACGACAAACGTACTCTTCACCGCGGATCAAACTCCCGGCCAGTACTTCATGGCGGCCTCGGCCTACGCAGCCGCAGTCCCCCAGAATCCATTCGACAACACGACCACCGCCGGGATCATCAGATACAAATCGTCTCCTTCGTCTTTCTTCTCGGGGCTGCCAAGGCTCCCTGCGTTTAACGACACGAGAAAGGTGGTGAGCTTCAACAGCAAGCTCAGAGGCTTACTAACCGAGGAGCTCCCAACAGTACCCGTGAAAGTCGACCGGCACTTGTTCTTCACCGTGGGACTCAACCGTGAGGATTGTCCGAGGGGAGCTCCAAACTCGAGCTGCCAAGGAAATGGGGGAAGATTTGTCGCGTCCATCAACAACATCACTTACGTCTCGCCGAGAAGCTCCATTCTCGGTGCTTACTACACCAACAAGCTGATGAACGTCTTCACCAAGGATTTCTCGACCAAGCCGCCGGTTAAGTTCGACTACACTGGAAGGCCACTGAGGAACTTAAACTCGAAGAACGGGACGAAAGCTCGGATCATACCTTACGGCAGTAGCGTGCAGATAATTCTCCAGGGGACGAGCCTTGTCAACGCTGAAAGCCATCCAATTCATCTCCACGGCTATGACTTCTTCATCGTCGGCCAAGGCTTTGGAAACTACAAGAAAAAGTACGAAGCCAGCTTCAACCTGGTGGATCCTCCTCTTCGAAACACCATCTCGGTTCCTCTCAAAGGTTGGGCAGCTATAAGATTGATAGCAAACAATCCAGGTTAGTTTCCCCTTCGCCATCTTTCTTGAAATTCTCATACCTTGTTCTCCATTCGCAGGAGTGTGGTTTATGCACTGTCACTTAGATATCCACACTACTTGGGGATTGGACACTGTTCTCATCGTCGAGAACGGCGAGGGACCTTTGCAATCGATCCAGGCACCCCCACCGGATTATCCACGCTGCTAAAGAGTTACCACACACATTCTCCCATCCGATTTTTCTTGTTAAGTTTGCTTTGGACCCTCAAGCACAGAAACAAAGATTGTCAAACGAACCACAATAAAGAAATACTTGCAAACGAAGATCTTTTCAATCACGCGGAAACGAAGAAACTGCAAGCAAAGATAACGAAATGGAAAGGAAGCAAACTTGGCAAATTTACGTGCACAACTCTTTCGCTGTAGACGAGATCTTCACAATCATGACAAGCTGTGCTGTGATTGCATTGCCTCCATGAACCACGTTGACACGCATGAACTTTCTTGCGTGAAATGCCCAAATTGCGCATGCCCCTTCCAGGCAAATGCCGAAGGAAAAGAATTCAAGAAAGTCGCATCATCCGACCGAAGGGGCCTTCTAAGCATAGAGTTCTCTAGAATCGATTTACAAAAACACCCACTTTATTATTCGAGAACCCACTTGAGATTCCAAAACAAAACTCCAATTCTTTTTAAATCTTCCCTTTGTCCCTGTTCTTGGGCTTTTTCGACTATAACCCCCCACGTTTGTGGGGACAGTGGTGTATGACTCTATCAAACAATCAATCGATCGATCGGCCGCTAACCTCTCCAGGGCTGGTTGTGGTCTTTGTACAAACAAGCGAGCAATCAGCAAGGCGGCAGATCCTTGGGCGGTGGCTCCAAGCGCTGCCACTCCTCGGCACCGTCCTCCACAATAAACACGGTATCGAGCCCCGTCAAAGAATGCAAATCCAAGTGACAATGAAACGCCCAAGTCCCTGGCAGCACGAGAAGAAGAGAGACGATCATCCCACGAAAGAACTCGCGATAAAACTCACCTGGGTTGTTCGCGACGAATCTGATCACTGCCCAGCCGGCCGCCGGCACCGAGATGGTGTTCCTCAGCGGCGGATCCACCAGGTTGAACGCTGGCGAGTCGCGGGTCCGATTGAAATTCCCCCTCCCGGTGGCCAGCACGTAGAAATCAAAGCCATGCAAGTGAATGGGATGGTTCTCGGGCGCCAGGAGCGTCGTCCCCTGGAGCACCACCTCCACGGTGGCGCCGTACGGAATGATCCTCGCCTTGGTCCCCTCGGGCGCGTTCTGGTTGGCGATGGCGGGGCTCGCGGTGAAGTTGTACGGACGCGGGAACCGCGGGAAATCGGTGGTATATCCGCTGGGATCCTGTCCGCTGTGGATGAAATCGAAGTGCTGCTTGAGAAACGCCGAGGAGGATCCGATGAAGCTGACGTTGTTCATGGAGGCGCCGAATCGCCCGCCGCCGGGGACCGGCAGGAGGCACGAGATGTTAGGGTTCATGGTTGGCGGGCACCTCTGGACGTTGAGACCCACCGTGATGAAGAACTTCTCCGCGACGGGCGATGCCGGGAGGGGAAACTCGCGGCGGACGCGATCTGGGCTGCGGAGCTTCGCCGCGAAGGCGTCCGAGAAGGCGGATCCAGCGGTGGAGGGCGGGAGCGATGGGAGGAGGAAGCGCGGGAAGGATTTGCGCGGGGGGGAAGCGTAGGAGAGGATGGCGGCGGTGGTGGTGTTCTGGAAGGGGATGAATGGCGGCGCGGAGGCGAAGGCGTGCGCCGCCATGGAGTACGTGAGGGATGGATCGCGGTCTGTGGTGAAGAGGGCGGTGATGGCCTGGCCTGGGGAGATGACCAGCGAGGGAGTGGTGAAGGGCTTCACGTACTGCGCGTCGGCCTCCACGATGGTGAGGGTGTGGTTGGCTATGCCGAAGAAGAGCTCCGTGTTCATGGCCGCGCTGATGAGGCGGAGGAGGTATCGCGTCCCGGGCTGGAGATTGAAGACTTGCGTGTCTGCGAAATCAGAGAGAGTTTGTGTGGGATTCTTTCCTTGTTCTTCTGGGAGTGATTCTCGCAAGAATTGTGGAGAGATTTGGGCAGGGATAGTAGGAGCTTAGGATGATCTCGGCTCTCTTACCTTGTTGCGAGCACTTGCCATACAGCGGCCCGGGCAATCCATTGATGGTGAATGCGTCCGAGAGATTCGTCCCAGCGCCAGTTAGCATGGCTTGTCCGATCACGTCGAGAACGTCCGATTTCCACCACTCGCCTGGAGGTCACGGAGAAGATGAATTGCTGGAAACCCATGGACTGGAACTAGACTCTGACGATGTTCTTACCAAGCATGACGACAAGCTCTTTTGGTTTCGGCTCGCCTGGTCGCAAGAATGGAAGGCTCTCCTTTGGATGAACGATGAGAGCTCCATACACGGTGGCTCTCAAGAAAGTGATGTGCGCGTGCCACCACAGCGTTCCTCGCTGCCGGACGACATCGAATTTGTACACGAAGGATCTCTGGCGCTGGATCGGGCACTGGGTGATGTAAGCCGGGCCATCAAACCAGCCTGTTCGATTCTGGAAGATACCATGCCTGGAAATCCATCCATCAGAAGCGAAGAACACTTGAATCTTTGTGTTGTTCTACCAGTGCAATGTGATGTTGTGATTGATGAAGTTGTTTACTCTGATTTCCAGGCTATCGCCCTCCTCGACATCGATTTGCGGTCCTGGGAATTGATTGTTCACCACGATGATTGACTTTGTGCTGCAGAGCCTCGTGATTTTCTTCTCGGTAATCTACCAAGAGAGAATTTTTGCAGCTAAGACAAAATGGAGGAAAAACAGAGGATTCTTACATTGAATTCGTAGAACTTTGTTCTTGGCGGCGTTGCCCCGGAGAATTGAGCTCCGATTGCCAACCACAAGAAATAAAAGGCCAAGCTCGCTTGCATTGCCCCTCGCCTGGCCATCGAGCTCGATCCAATCCTACAAACACTCCTGCGCGCTCTGCTTGTGCCAGAGCAATAAGACTTTCGAGGGATTTCAAGCCGATCGAGCAGAGTAAGAGGAGGGCGATCAATACTACGTGCTTGACACGCCAGAAAACAAGGATCTCTTAGCTAGCTCGCGTCTCCTCCCCTCTTACTCGCGGCTACTTCTCCCCCAAAACCTTGTGCGCTTTCGATCCTTTTATATCCCCGACGACGGAATCAAAACGCCACTGTGTTGTGCTCGATGCTTCGGCACAGCAAATTCAACTCCTTACAGGCTAGCGAACAGCAACACGAGTGGGGTCTCCAGGAAAATGGAGGGAGGAAAGAAGCACGACGTCGAGCTAGAGTAAACAATGCTGTCGCGCCATCGCCATCGCCATCGCCACTGCTCTTTGTGGCTGGCTCAAGCCGTCGGATGGGCACGAATCCGACGGCGCGCTTCAAATCCTCCCATCCAACGGTGGAGTTCAAACCTTCCGTGTTGACGCCCTCAAATGGTGCCCCCTTAGTGCGCGCCGCAGCCAACGGCTGGGATCCGCGTAAGACTGATATACGTGCTCGTCACCAAAGTGCCTGGATGGGAGATAATCTAGAAGCTTTGGAGGTCTGTCCGTTGAAAACCCACTTGATTATAGAGCGCATTAAGGTTGTCTAGATCGGCTATATCTAAGGACAATGTCAGAGTAGATGCAATCTACCATTTGATAATCGCTTATCAATGGTGTCAACCATGTAAGAATGTGGACATTTTCACGGCATGGTTGAAAAGATTTGGTCTTGGAGCCATGACGCGATCAAAGAGCGTGGACCCTCTCAAAGTCTTTACGTGAGATTATCCTCCAAGCAACCTTTGGGTGCCAAGACGGAGCCATCCAACCAAGCGCATTTCCACGACCACTTTGCGTGGCATCACGAAGTGGCCACAAGATTGTTGGTCGTGTGGACATATCAAGCAACAGTCCGAGTGAGAATGACAAGGCGTTTTGGAGTTTTCAAATGGAGGTTTAGGTGTGTTTCTCAAGTGGGGTATAAGATTAGAATTCTAAGCCAAAGAAATACTTGGTCTGTGTTCTTAGGTAGAATGTTCACGTTCTAGAGCCTCTTCTCTTTCCAGGTTCTCCAAATTCTTTAGTGTCGTGATCATCGCCAACAAGAAGAATCTTATGAGAAAGTTTCGAAATCAACTTCTGGAAAAAGCGAAGCTTTCGAGTTCTCATGCTAGCTGTGTTGATCGATCCGTGTTTGTCTTTGCCCAATGACAATGAAAATGGGACTTGCATCTTTTGTCTTGACCCACTTCGGACCCTTCTTGGCGACTTTCGAGGACGAGTTCTTGGGACCGAGCGTGCGATCACTTGAAAAGAGTTCTTTCCTTACAAGAGAAAACACGAATCACTAATAGTGCTACTATAAGCTCTAGGAGCGATTAAAGAAACTTAAAGGTCCTTGGTTGATAATATGGCTTTTGATGGATAGGTTAATCCTCTACGTATATGAGGAATCTAGCTGGCTTTTGGTGGATTGGTGGCTGGGATTGGTATGTTCAACCTTGAGTGTAAACTATTGCATTCCTGCTTGTTGAAACGGGGTTGACAGGGATGTGATTTGTCCCTTGTTGGATGCAAGAAAATCGGCAAAAATAAAGTCGGTGGCCAAGCTTGTTTCAAATATTTTTTTGAAAAAAAAAATCCCGCTTTTCTATTTCTGATCCATGGAACAGTTTTGCGGGTGGTAAAGGGTGATTCTCGGGGAAACAGCAAATGAGATGCCTAGTCTCCATCACGAATCCGAGGATCTTTTGGCGAAACAAGTCCGGTCCTGCAAAGGGGTTGCATCCGTCCGCCAAATCCACGCTCACATTCGCCGCGGAATCTTTTACTCCAGCACGTACCTCGCAAATCTCCTCATTGACAGTTACGCCAAATGCCGCTGCCTGGAAGAATCTCTGGCGCTGTTCCACAGTGGGGCTTTCTCGCGCAATGCTTTCTCGTGGAATATACTCATCACGGCATATGCCCACAACGGGCATATGGACGAGTCCCATGAAATATTCGATTTGATGCCCCAGCGCAACGTGGTAACGTGGAGTGTGCTTGTTACCCAATACACCAAAACAGGGAATCTTGCAGAGGCGAAAAGAATCTTTCATTTGATTCCGGGAGAGTGCGTTATTGCCTCGACTGGTATGCTGGTAGCATATGCCCAGGGCGGGCATCTTGATGACGCTCGAAGGATATTCGATGGCATGTCGTGTCGCAGCGTGGTAACGTGGAACTCGATGGTGCAGGGATATTCCGACGCAGCAAACGTGGAAAGCGCCAGGGCTTTGTTCGACAGGATGCCGGCGTGGGATATTCCGTCGTGGAACACCGTGCTCCAGGCATATGCCCAAGCCGTGGATGCCGAGGGAGCTTCCCGAATATTCCAGGCGATCCCGGAGCGTACGGCCGTTTCGTCCACCGCGATGATCAAGCTGTGGGCGCAGTTAGGTCACCTCGATCGCGCCGTGGCGACGTTCCAATCCATGCCCGATTGCGACATTGTGGCCTGGACAGCGATCCTTGCCGCCCACGGCCAGAACCAGCGATTGGAGAGCGCGCACAGGATCTTTGCCCTAATGCCCCAGCACGATGGAGTTTCTTCCACTGCGATGCTCTCGGCCTGTGGAGCGAACGGGGAAACCATCCTCGCTGAAGAGATGTTTGAGAAGATTCCTGTGAAGAACGCAGTGACCTGGACTGCCATGATCGGAGTCTACTGCGCAAGCTACCAAACTGACCGTGCTAGAATGGTTCTTGAAAAGATGCCTTACCACGGAGTTATCGCGTGGACTATCATTGCTCACGCATATACCACAAAAGGGCATCTTGTCGAGGCAAAATCACTGCTAGACAAAGTGCCCTCCAACAGCACAGTGGCATCTACTGTGATGCTTGCGGCTTATTCGAATGTCGGCCACCTTTCTAATGCCAAAACTGTGTTTGATTCTATGCAAGAACAGGACTCTGTGATGTGGTCCGCTGCGATTACCGCATATGCCCAAGCCGGGCATTTGGAAGAGTGTGTAGATATTTTCCGGAAAATGGTTCTCGCGGGATTCGAGCCTCGGGACATTACGTTTACGTGCGTGCTCACCGGGCTCAGCCACGCTGGGGCCGCCGATCGAGCTCGAGAGTTCTTCCACATTATGTGTGGTGATTTTAGACTTTGTCCGAGGATTGAGCACTACTGCTGCGTGATTGATCTCTTGGGACGTGTCAAGAGGCTGGACGACGCCGAGGAGCTCGCGAGAAACATGCCGTTCGAGTCTTATGGCCTTGCATGGTCGACGCTGTTGGCCGCTTGCAAACTTCACGGAGATTCTCAGAGGGGAGCTCGGGCGGCCGGAGAGGCCATGGATTTGGATCCCAAAAATCCATCTCCGTTTCTTCTCTTGTCCAATATGTTTGTAAGTTCTGAGACCCGGGTGGATGATAATGACCCAAGAGTCCAATCTTTTGCTACTTTCTTTTAACACAGCTTTTTCTCTAGCATAGCATGACACGAGAGAATCTATAAAGCAGCCAACAATGTTGACACGAGTTCAACGATCGGACAGGCAGTGGAATGCTGCGACCGTTTGATCCAAACTTTCCTAGATTTATTTCAAATGATTTAGTGTTCTATTGTACCGTTTGCCCAAGACCTGTCTATTCGGTGTGGTTCTTTTTCAAGTCTTGCTGAGGACTTTGGATTCAGGCTCTTTGGGTTGGAAGGTTTGCTGGGGAAGAACTTTTGGGTTTGATGACGACTAGGCAACGAAAATCTTGTATGTATACGTAAAGTAATGGAATTCTTCTTTGAGAAGAACTTACTCAAGAAGTTGGTCCACAGATCTCAACGTGCTTTCTCTTTTCTTTGACTTTCTCTTTTAACTCTAGGTTTAAACACCCGATCATTGTATGTACCCACCTAAAATCATTCCCCTCGCTTGCTTGCATCTTAAAGCAACCTGGAGGGAAAGAAAACTAAACTAAATCCTGATATAAGATCTTCGCTGTGATGATCAGAGGCACTAGCTAGCACTGTGGATAATCATCCGGCGGTGGAACAATCGATTGATCCGGTCCTACGCCATTTGTGACAAGAATCGCAGTGGCAAGGCCCCAAGTTGTGTGAATCTCAAGGTGGCAATGCATGTACCACACACCTGATCAAACAACATACGTATAAGTATAAACTCTCTTTAAACGGAATATGATCTCTATACCTGGATTGTCAGCTTTGAATCTAATCACGGCCCATCCTCCGGATGGAACACCGATTGTGTTCCTGAGAGGAGGATCAACCAGATTAAACTGTGAGCTCTTGGAAGCATCATAGTTTCCAAAGCCATAGCCGAGCACATAGAAATTATAGCCGTGGAGATGGATTGGGTGGTTCTCAAACCCAGCAATGTACGTGTTCTGGAACACAATCTGGACGTTGGAGCCGTACGGAATGACCGAGATCCTGGTTCCCACCTGGGGAGCCACATTCTTTAAAGAACCCGAGCTCTGGTCAGTGTAGTCAAAAGGGTTGACCGGCGCGACCGGGAAGTCCGTGGAGTAGATCCCCGGGACATTCCGGTAGTAGGCCTCCATGAGGGACATCTTGGTCGGGAGAGCAAACGAGACGTTGTTGATCGAGGCAGTGAAGTTCCCATTGTCTGGAACGACAATATGATTGTCCATTGTATAGAGAATTGTCTCGCGTACCTGGTGCTCGGCAAGTGCTCCCGGGCGAGCATGGCTTGATTCCCAGCCCGATCGCGAACAAAAACTCCTTGTCCACGGTCTGCGGGACATCGATCTTGTGCTGTGAAGATGCCAGGCTCCGCAAGCTCCCAGAGAATCTAGTCGCGTAGCTTGTGTCGTTGAAGAAGGGCTGGATCGGAGTCTCTGGCGTCGCAAACGTGGAGGATTTCATGTCGCAGGCGATGTACTCGAGCACGGCAGTGGCAGCGGTGGGGGTGTAGGGGACATGCTGCGCAGACATGTATGGCACTGCGGACATGAAGTAGCGAGCGCATGGCTGGTCCGCGGTGATGACTACGTTAGTGGTTTGTCCGGGCGTGAGGAGGATAGTGTCCGTGGTGTAAGGCTTGGTGTACTCGGCGTCTACTTCCACCACCGTCATGCTATGGTTGGCGATGGAGAAGAAGAGCTCCATGTTGAGGGCAGCATTGACGAGGCGGAGGAGGTATCTCTTGCCGGTGATGGCGTTCAGGGTGTACACTTCTGTGAGAGAACAAGAAGAGTGATGATATCCACACAGAGAGAGAAAGAGAGAGACATTCTTTCTTCAATTCTGGCTTACCTTGTGCTTCCGATTCCTTGTAGCTCGGGCCCGGGAATCCATTGATGGTGTAAGCGTCCGATTGGTTTGGAGCCCCGTGCCTCAAAGCGTCCTCCTCGATCGCTTGGATGTCGTTGTTCCACCACTCCCCTGTTAGAAAACAGAGGATTGTGTGTGAGAACTGTGTCCTCTAGATCTATCTACTCCTGCGGAGATGATCTCCTCCAATTCTCTCGAGAAATTTACCAAGGATGACAACTTGTTCTTCGTAGGGGGACTTGAATGGGTAAGGCATTGTCCTCCTTGGATAGATGACGATGGCTCCATAAACAGTGGCTCGAAGCCACATGATGTGGGCATGCCAGAAGAGAGTTCCCATGTGTGAATCCACGGTGAAGTTGTAGAGGAACGATTGGCCTTGCTTGAGAGGACACTGCGTGACATACGCTGGGCCATCGAACCAGGGACTTCTAAATTGCCGGATTCCATGCCTGTGACAAAGCATTAGATCAGAAAAAGTTTTGGAACTTTTGAGACTTTGGCTCTCGCTCATCACCAGTGGATCGACATCTTGTACTTCACAGTGTTCCTTACTGTGATGAGAAGCCTATCGCCGTCGTTGGCATAGATTGTTGGTCCCGGGAGCTCGCCATTGACAGTGATAATGTTCTTTGTTCTTCCCAGCCTCCTCACCATCGAGCTTACGACCTGGGCGGTGGCAATTCGATGAGCTCTGGATGCTCGAAACTGGCGAGAGCATATTAAGCAAACTGACCTGGAAGTCGTAGACTTTGGTTATTTCATTCTGAGCAGCCACCAGATCGAAGCTCCAGGAAGCGAGGAAAGAGAAAATCACAACCGCGCGGCAAGCACTCGAGACCATCGATTGCAATGCCATGATCCAGGACAGAGGAAAAGAAAAGAACACTCTATCTCTAGTCACTTCCTTCTCTTCTCATTTAAGTTTCTCCATAGGTAGGCAACTTGGAAGGACACATTGCAAGAGTTTTAAACGCAGTTTCAAGAGTGGAGCACCACCTTGAACACCAAGAAAAAAAAAAAAACGTTGTCATGTATGTTAGGTGACTGTGTCCAAACGGGCCCATGAGCTAAGCAATCCCATAAAACTTAAGTCCCGTTAAATATCTTCCACTTCACAGAGACAGGCTGTATAGTAGTCCCGAGATAGTCAAGACTAGAGAGGAAAAAAACGAAGAAGAAGGATATCTCTCCGCTTCTTCTTCGGACGAGAAGTTCTTGGGTGTGAGATCAGCGGAGTCAGGATTGAAAAGAACCCATCCCAAAAGTCCAAGGAATCGATCAAGCGAATCAGTCGCTTATCGCGAGGAATTGGAAGAAGCTGGAAGTGTCCGAGTGGAAGCACTTAAAACTCGTATGGTGGAGACAAATTTGTGGGGATGGAGAATAGCGACGGCCAATTAACGTAATGCGGGTGGTAGCCCACTCGGATCTTGAAGAAGGAAGCATGGCGGCTTCTCTCCTAATGGTCCTAAGACTTGGTAAAACCCTGCCAACCTCCTATACACAGACGTGTACGCTAATAGCTTTCTACGGTTGGAGCGAATTACAATGTCACTCGTGCACTTGAAAGGAGGGCCCTCGTTCCATTTCTATTCTTTTGATTTGCGCAAAGAGAGAGAGGCCAACTGAACGACACTTTTTGCCGCTAGCGTCGCTTTCGAAAGGCAATTTCTGGGAGGTGATCTAGTTTAGCTGTATTTGCTGAGAATGATCATGTGCTCTTGTGCTGGCCGAATCTTGGGGGTCAAGCTGTATGATCGAACATCAGGTTAAAGCTTGGGGTCAAAGTTGGCAACAAGATTATTCACTTCTTTGGGACCTCTTTGTAAAGGCTAGGCAAAAGAACAAAAGGGTAAAATTGGGCATAGGTGTTTAGCCTTACAATTGGGACAAGTCCACGCTTGCAAACTCTATATTGGAAAAGACTAGGGAAAGTTTTATATAATGTGTCGTTCTCTCAAGAGCATCTCTCCTATAGATAACCATGTTCAACGAGCTGGAAGATTTGATAGAAGGAAATCTCTTCCTATCACTTGAGATATAGGAGTCCAACCAGCTTCTACATCTCAAATTTTCTCATAATCTCAATTTGCTACATTGTCATGTACCCAGAAGCATGAGGCCAAAATGCTGTCTGGATGATCATCTTCTGCTTCAGTAGTGCTTCAGTAGGAAAAGAAAAGAAAAGAAAAAAGAGAAATTAATCAAAACTAAGAAGGTGCAATAATATAGAAAACATCCTTGAAAATGGTTTCATTAAGCCCGGAAGTCTCATTTATTACTTTCTTTTATTTGTCTTCTTTCTTGATTTTGAATTAAAATATATAAATTATATAATAGTAATTGTGTTTCTAAATATCTTTTATATTGGTAAATTAGTGAGTTAATGTGCCCTAAATCATTCCCTTTGCTATGGCAGACGACGTCGTGGAGTTGTACGTTGAGAAGAGGTTTGCGGGCAGGAGAGCGACTGCGAAATGTCTGGCAACCTTCAAAGAAGCGGGGATTGAGCGGGTTAGTGATCTCAACATGTTCAATTACGATGAGCTCCAGAAATTGGGAGTGCCACCGCTCTTCATCAAGCTAATGCAGCGCGACGGGCTTCTTCAGCCGCTTAGCCCTGGAGCTGCTTCTCAAAGCCATTTTTTGGGTACGTATTTTCTTGTCATTTCTTGGATTTATTTGGGCTGAGATTTGGCCCAGGTGTTATTGGCCATATGGTTGATGAGAAGCTGGCGGATATTTTCCGCGTAGCTACGCATACAGACTTGACGCTGGGCCTGAAGGATGAACTGTTAGGTGCAAGCATCATGTCTCGGCCAGATTATGACCATAGTCGAGAGGGATTTATAGTCCAGACGTTCGCCGGGGTGGACGTTTCTGGGAAAGTGGAGGTCTTCAAGGAGAGTATGCGAGCCAGTTTTGAGGAGGTGAAACACTTGAAAAAGCGGAAGCTCAGTGCGCAGGAGTTGAGCTTCGACGGTGAGAAGAAGCTGCAGAGAGGGGTTAGTCAGGGCTTCACTCAGCTGCAAGCTCCGGGATCGTGGTTTTTCGACACGAGCCAGGGTGGGGTGCTGTTTTCACAAGATAAGCCAGATTGCATTTTCTCCAGCTGCCAGTATGTTGTAAGCTGGCTATGTGCCGTGATGGTGGGAGAGTTGAGCTGGGAGTTGGATGGTGCAGATTCGGGGACAAAAAGATGTGTTGGAAAAATCGTAGCACGGCTCAGGAAGATCATATCCACCCAGAAAGGGAGGAATGTTGTATTCGGCTTCATTGCGGACCGGCGGGCCATTCAGTTTGTAGGCTTGGACGTCTCCGGAGGGGAGGAGAGTTTCTGGTGGTCACAAGAGTATGCATTTCACTTGGAGGCCACAGATGACAGCGGATTCAGGCTTCTGTTGCAGATGATATATGCAGACCAGTCAGTACACGGGTATGTAACTCCTCTGGGAACTCGCGAACTGCGGCTGGATGACGGGAGATGCATCCAGCACTTGACTGCTGTTTCATCCAAAGGGGATTCTCACATACTTGTCGGCACGCTCGATGGTGACGGAGCTGTGGTGGTGAAACTCTGCCGAGTTATGGAAGTGGAAGTACAGGTTTTGTCTGCAGTTCAAGGGGTGCCCGGCATCTTACCCCTGCTGGCACACGGGAAGTGGATTGGTGGGCACACGTACATAGTGACTCCTCTGTGCAGGACAGTTGATGAGCCTGTTCTTCACAGGCCTTGCAGAGAGTATGTCAAAATGCTTCAACAGGTTGCGGAGACTCTCAAGCTCCTCTGTGACAGGGGCATATATCATGGTGATGTTTCGGCAAGTAATGTCGTCTACAATGCCACGAGGTATTACTTAATCGACTTTGGCTCCGCTGTGAGCTGTTTCACCCCTGATGATGAACGAACCGGGGTTACCAGGCTCTTTGCCGCAGTGCAAGTTTTGGATGGAAACGAGCACTGCCTCTCAAGTGAGATGGAGAGCCTAATGTACGTCTTGGTTTACTTGGCTATGGGGCGGAGAGTCCCATGGAGGTTTTCGGGAGCCAATATTGTGTCCATGTACAAGAGGGCACTCTTCTCCGATGTGCAAACGTTTGAGCAAAGGGTTGTGTCACATGTGGATGGCAACCTGCTGCAGGAGCAGCTTCGGAGGCTTCAGAAGCTGTTCTTTGTGCCCACCTACAGACAGGACGTGAGGTACGAAGAGTTTTGTCAAGAGCTTTTGCTTGACGATGCACAGCTGGTTGCCATCTGATATAGTTGCCTTTGTTAGTTGTTGATGTGAGTCGTTGTTTCCGAATCCCGGTTGGGATACGCACAGTCGTGTCCAATAAAAAGATTCAGGTAAACCATACTAGTCGTTCCTTCATTCTCTGCGTCCCGTTGGGAAGTATATCCAGATATCATCGAATAAAGGTTGCTTTGCCTAGTGTGTCAAAGAAGAGCTGAGCGTCGAAAATTCCAAATGTTTTGGCTAGCATCCAATACGTTGGCATGTTCAACTCCTTGTACAGACATATCCCTTGTTCGCAAGAGTGCAAATACACGTTGCTCTACCCTGTGGTGGTGCTGAGGACAAGTTAACGGTTGCCGAACTAGAACAAGAAAGAGGCAATTACTTTTCTAGGAGTGAAAACATTCGTTTCAAAGCGGCCGAGGGTCATTTTTGTAGGAAGAGTTCCGTTTCTAGTTTTTGGAGATCTTGATATTCAAACGCAGGGTCCCGCAAAGCGTCAGCTTTTGCCTATGTGCTTCGAGCCTGCTCTCTCGTCCACCTGCAGGAAAGCTCTTGTTACAGCAATGTTACGGTACAATCCGTAAGGAAAGCGAGCTCCTTGTCAAGCCAGTTGACAAATGCAAGGATATCGTCAGTGAACCTCGGAAGCCAGTGAGTTGACAAAGTCGCCTTGTGTCTCGACATCAGCTTTTATCTACGAATCTACACAGTTCTTAGATCATACAAAACATTTCAAACAGAAAGCAGACAAAGCTACCTAGAAGATGTGATGACCGGTTCTTGATTTCACTGAGGTTGCTTCGAGCTTCTGATGATGCGCAGCTTGCGTGTCGCTTCATCAACTTTTTGAACTAAAGCCTTAAGGCTTGTGTCTATGCAAATGCAAACAAAACTCTGGGGTGATTTTGTTAAGTTCCTGGTGAGCGAATTGATTTCTCTCAAAATGCTGGCAGTGGATCTTGCCAAGCAGCCCTGGAATATGCCCTGCGGGAAATACAAAATATAATGTCTCGATGATCATTTCCAATATGCTGGTCTTCTCATCTGAACAAAAATAATGGTATAGACAATATTGAAAAATGAGACGAAGAAATAGTTTATTAAGGCTATTAAATGTTTACTCCATGATATTGATGCTAATTGTGACAATATTGCAAATTTCTCTGACACTCGATCTTGATATTATGTGCAAGTGGGCACGACATATTTGGAGCTCAATCTCCAACAGATTAGACGACACTGGATTTCAATCAGTATAATTAGTTTGTGTATGGGGACGGAAGCAGCTGTACAGATACGAAAGCGTGTCCTATGAGCGAGACGTGTTTGTGGTACAAGTGGGAGAAGTGGCACAATCACATGTTTTAGAGATTTAAAACCACAGAAAGATTGTTTCTATTTTAATTAAACATTTGTCTCTTGTAAGATCGAGTTCCAACGAGCAAAATGCATCGATCCTGCAAAAACAAGTTAAGTTCCAGCTCTTCTACTTAACTGGGCTTACCATTCTAAAGCACTACGAGGATTCGCACTGGTAGCAGTTTGGAAAGAGGCCCAAACATTAGATGTCGGAGCGTGGACCATCATCCTCTAAACGAGCTCTTCAAAGCGACGATCCGGTTGAAAACAGTCTTGCACGAGCTGGAATCACGGTCCACAACAAAGTAGCCTAGAACAGAGCTTGCCATTGGTCCCCAAACAAGGAAGAAAAATTAGTGTGATACCTTTGCGCTCGAACTGGAAGCAATCCCCGCACTTCACATCCTTCAAGCAGTGGAGAGCAACCGCATCATTGATCACCTCCTTGGACTGGGGATTAAAATCCTCGAGCCAGTTGCTGTGGAGCCTGGGATCCTGCAGTTACACACACACACGAAGGTATGAAAAAGAAAAGGTTTTTCTCACTGCTTTACCTCTGATTTGAACAGCTTGCCGAAAAGCCTCACTTCGACCGTCAGCTGCTTTGTTCCCGGCGCAGCTTCGGGAACCCAGTGGATAACCCCCTGGAACAAAAGAATCGAACAACTTCAGTACCGGGAGGAAAGAAAATATGATCAATGAGCTCGAAGATGAGCTCGAAGACTACCTTGGGTTTGATGGCCTTGAGGGGATCGTAAGTAGCCAAAAGCTCCACAACCTCGCCATCCACGCAGACGTAATCCACGCAAGTTATCGGGAACGCATACCGCAACAGCACCGACTTTCCTTTGGACAGACCATAGTAGTCCTTTGAGTCGTGCTCTCGAAAGTCCGTTCTCTCGATGTATATGGTCTTGGTGAAGGGTATCTGCCAGCGGAAAAGATGATTTCTTCTTTCTTCTGTGCAAATCTCTATTTTACAAACCTTGTACGTGGGAGAGTTTGCGTCCGGGAAGCGCTTCGCCTCCACAACCTGGTCTTGTTCGTGACCTTCAAAGTTGATGATCGTCACCTGCATGCGTGGGGAGTGAATGAAAAATACAGAAATAGTGAAGCGACGAACCTTCAGCGGCTGGAAGACCACCATCGTCCTCGGTGCTGTCTTGTTTAGCTCCTCCCGCACGAAATGGTCTACCAGGTCCGTGCTTATGAGATTGTCACTGTAAAGCCCAGATCAGAGACTGTTTAAACTTCCACAAAAAAGGAAAGAAAAGAAAAACCTGCGTGTTCTGCCTAGAGCACGACAGAAGTTGTTGATTGCGTTCGGCGGAACGCCCCTTCGACGCAGCCCGGCCAGAGTCAAGAGGCGAGGATCATCCCAACCATCAACCATTTGCTTGTCTACCAGATACTTGAGCTGCCAAAACAAACAGTGTCACACCGCTGTGAATGCTCGAACGGGAAGCTCACCTTGCGCTTGGATAGCAGATTGTTGGACACGTTTAAGCGGCCATACTCCCAGACATACGGGAGATACATGTCAAGCTTGTCCAACAACCAATAGTAAGAGACGCGCCTGGTCTCAAACTCCAGCGTACAAAGCTGCGACAAGCGAGAACAATGAGGCGGAGGACGGGAAAAACGAATCAGTGTCCATACCGAGTGCGTAATGTTCTCCAGAGAATCGACGATGCAGTGAGAGTAGTCGTAAGTGGGGTATATACACCACTTGTCTTTCGTTCGAGGATGCGAGGCAAACTAGAGAGAGGCATTCCAGCGTCAGGGAGGAAACTTGGAGAAAGAGAGAGAGAGAGAGAGAGATTTACCTTGATCCTGTAAGCAACGAGATCGAGCATGTTGCCATTGTTGCTTTTCATATCTTGTTTCATGCGCAAGGTGGCCTGGCCTTCTGGGACGGCACCAGCGCGCATCTGCTCAAACAGCTCCAGGGACTCGTCTATGGGACGGTTCCTCCAGGGGCTCTCTAGTAGCTTCTCCCGGTACTCTTTTACTTCTGCCGGCGTCTGCAAGGAAACCACCGGGGAGTTGAGATTTTCGAAAAGGTGACGAAGATCACACACCTGATGGTCCACATAAGCATAACCTCGCTTTATAAGTTCGACAGCCTTCTCGTAGAGCTCTTCGAAGTAATCGCTACAGTAAGTCACCTTTTGAAGCAAATCCACAGTGAGGTAACAGTACAGAAAGAAGAAAGGCTGGCAAGAAAGAGGCTGTACCTTGAATGGCTTCCACCCGAGCCACTGAACCATATCCTGGATGTTGGCGGTGAACTCGTCACTCTCGCCTTCTGGATTCGTATCATCCAGCCTGCCACAGCCAAACAGCAAAAGGCGTTAGCTCTACATGCATGGATAAAGCTTTTCAACCATCCTCACCGCAGGTAGCATTTCCCGTTGGCCTCGCACGCAAAGCCAAAGTTCATACCCATGGCCTTGCCATGTCCTAAATGGCTATATCCATTGGGCTCGGGTGGAAAACGCGTGACCACCGCCCCTCCGGTGGCGCTGAGATGTTTCTCCAGCTTTTCCCTCGAGTTGGACGGGCGGAAGACCGTTCCATCGCTCAGCTCGACGTCGACGTGAGGCCCCGTGTTGTCCAGGGGGCTCGGAAATGAGGAGAACGGATCCAGGTCCTCCTCTGGAAGCTGCTCGGGAACACGAGCTTTGTTGGTCTTTCTAGATTTGTGTGCGTCCCCGGTTTTCTCACCCAGCAGCTCGTAGAGCTGCCCATCCAGTGCCGCTTTCACGTCTCTGTGATCAGCGTGCGGCTGGAGCTCCCTCACCTGCGCCACCAAAGCTGACACTGGAAGTTGGTCAGAGAAACCAACTTAAGTTAAGCAGAAAGCTCACGTTTAAAGGCAGCATAGCGCTCAGCCAGAAGCTTTTCCTTGTTTCTGTTGATCACAGTATCAACTGCAGCCTTTACGTCCTCGAGAGGCACTGCAACATTTCGCATGAGCAGAAGGAAAAACAAAAAAGATAAACAAAACAATCGACTTACCTATTCCGCAAGCCCTCTCGAACTTTGCGAGATCAACAGACTCGCGCCTCGCGGCAGTGATGTACTCAAGAGCTGCTTCTAGCTGGTGGCTCCGCATCTACCAAACGGACAAACATGAGCTTCTGTTTTCATCAGAAAGCGGAGCACAAAGGTTTCCCACCTTTCCAGACGCGATGTAGCGCAAGACGGTAGACAGGTGCTGCGGGCGATGGCCATTCATGTATCTTGCGGCAACCTGGAAAGTCCAACATCTTACAGAGCAAAGAAATGGGGGGGCAAAAACTGCACCGTATACAGAAGCTTGCCGATGTGCTTGTCGCAGCCGTTGTCCACTCCGGCCTGCAGAAAGAGAGGTTGGAGAAGACACAAGAAGAGCAAATTTGAGAAGATGGGCTCACCTCTTGGATGATGGCAATGAGATCGGACAGAAGTTTGGGGTTCTCAAGAGCGCTCCTCGCTGTCGTCTCCTCCAAACCGATGCAAGTCAGGAGCTTAAGGGCCGACATGTTTTCTAAAACCCTTACTTACAGTTTTGCCGATTTATAGAAACCCATTATTTATTAAAGTCTATTATTGCCTGAAGAAATTCACAGCTCTACCAAAGCTAGTGTACGCTGGGCACTGGAAGGCAATGGAATTCAAGCAATATAATTAGTTTTATGTATGAGAGGGAATATATATGTATTGGTTTTTATATATATATTTGGCTTACATATGCTTGTCCTATGAGTTTTGTGGTACAATTGAGAGAATTAGAACGAGTTAGCAGAATCACCAGAATTGTGAAGATTCTTTCATGTTTTTTTTACCGTTTTCTAGATTTCCTTGACTATCAAAACCACAGAAAGATTGTCTCCATATTATTAGTTTTAATTATACATTTGTCCAGGCCCACTGTTAGATGACACTATAGATACAAGCAAAACTGCAGGTTAGGATACTTTCATGACCTTTTGAGCTGCTCACTTTGAGCACGATTTCGCAGCTCTTCGAACGTTCGCATACTCTCTGGATCAAAGCCACCAGCAAACTGAAGAGAACAAGGTCAGGATTAGTGGCGAATGGATCGAAAGTTAGCAAAAGCTTGGCTAGCGATTCTACCTGGTGAACTCTAAAGGCGAACCGGACTCCTTGGAGGAGCAAGAACTCTCGTAGTGGCTCCTTATCTTGGACAGAGTCCAGCTCCTTTATAACTCTGTTCATGTATTGCTGCGCTAGCTTGACAGATGCGAGCTTGATCTGGAAAGACAAAAAGCAAAACTCTTGGTTTTAGACAAAGATGTGCGTGCTGTCAACATTTACCTTTCCAATAAGTCCCGAGTCGAGCATCCAGTACGTTGGTATGTTGAACTCCTTGTAGCGTGCTATAGCCATGTCCCTTGTTCGCAAGAGTGCGAATACACTTTGCTCTACCCTGTGGTGGTGGCAAGGACAAGAAGTTAAAAGGTCAGGGACGAGAAGGAAGAAGCACTTACTTTTCTAGGAGTGAAAACATTCGTTTCAAAGCGGCGTCCCTGGGTACGCGGGGGTCATCTTTGTAGGAAGAGATGTCCGCTTCTAGTTTTTGGAGGTCTTGATATTCAAACGCAGCTTCCCGCAAAGCGTCAGCTTTTGCCTCCGGCCAATCGAAGTGCTTCAAGACCGCTCTCTCGTCCACCTGCAAGAAAAGCTCTTGTTATAGCCTGTTACAACCCGGTTACAGTACTATCCATACCAGGAATGCGAGCTCCTCGTCAAGCCAGTTGACAAATGCAAGGATATCGTCAATGTTCGAGTAGACTGCAGCACGAACCTCAGCAGCCAGTGAGTTGACAAAGTCGCCTTGCGTCTCAACATCAGCTTTTATCTGCGAATCCACACAAAAGTCAGATAAAAAATAACGCAAGACAAAGCTACATACCGCTAGAAGATGTGATGACCGGTTCTCGATTTCACCGATCAGGTTGCTTCGAGCTTCTGATGATGCGTTTCCGGAGCTAGAAACTGCCGCATCTTTCCTTGCGTCTCGCTTCATCAAGGACTGATAAAACTCCACCACCTCGGGAGCTCTTTGAACCTTGCTTCCACTTTGGCCCTGTGGCTTACCCATGCCAGGCAAGGGAGGCGGCGGAGGTGGCGCTCCTGGAGCACCCGGTGGCAAGGGTGGAGCACCTGGAATACCTGGAGGAGGCGGAGGTGGCGGTGGTGCAGTTCCTGCGAGCCTGGGAGGGAGAACAGTCTGCGTTGGTGGCCCAGCCAAGGAAGGCTTTGGAGGTGGCTTAGCAACCCGAAGTTCTCGTTTCTCAACTTCCGCAGGCGTCATTTTCGCGACAGCCTCTGGCTTCTTGCTTGCTGCTATCTCTTCCACTTTCTCTTTGATAGCCATCTCCCGCTCCACAGCCAGCTTGTGCCTGTCCTTGAAAGCGGGGTACTTGTCGGCAACGTCACTGCCTACAACGGACCGTGACATAAGCTGGAATGAAGCAGCGATACTGTTTAGGCCGTCCGACTTGGTCTTTACTGGCGTCAACTTTGCTGGCTCTTGCTTTCCCTTCGCAGACGATTCGTTTGGAGAAGCACCATCCGTGTCCACAGAACCGTAAGTTGTGATCCCAGAGTCCTTGCTGTTCCTTAGCAATATCGTTTCTAGAGGTCCCATAGGACTAGCCGGTGTGGCGGGCCTATGCCCCGGGCTCTTGTTCTTCTCGCCTTTCGGTTTATCGCCAACTTGAGAATCATCCTTGCTACGACCCCACTTCTTGAGTCGTTTGATCAAGCCAGGTTTCTTGGAGCTGGATTCCTCACTACCGTAGTCGTCCATGTCAATGCTGTCGGAGGACGTACGCGAGAAAGGACTGTCATAGCCACTGTCCGGTAGAGTTTCCTTGGATCTCATTGCCAGTAAGTCGGGACCAGCATACTCCAGCATAAGTTGCTTCGCCTTCTCTTGAGATCTCGGGCTCAGACTCTTGTTGAGATCCAAAGCTGTAAATTTCCCATCGGCTGCCTTGAAATTACGTAGCTCGTAGCGTAAGCACGCATTGACCCACCGTAAATAAACAAGCTCTTCAACTTCGCTAAACCGATTATTTTGAAGCCCTTCAACTTGCCGCATCAAGTCATCGTTTGCGTGTCTTAGAATTTGAGATTCGTTGTTTGCCCGGGCCACCAGCTCAGTCTGTAAAAACCAAAAGAGTGTAGGAAAGAAGCAAGTTCTAAAGAAAAACCGAAAGAAGGAAGGCTGTTTACCTCTGTTACGCTCGATAATGAAGTCACTTGAGCTTCGGCTGCTGAAAGCTTCACTGTCAGGTCTCGTTTTTGGTGTTGAAGCTCTCTACAAGTCCGGCGAAGTTCGACCACCTCAATCTCAAGCTCCTTCAACGTTTGCATTTTCTTCTCGATCTCAAAATTCTTTTTCATCGAGCTCTGCTCCTTAGCTTTAAGTGTTTCGAGCTGCTGTTTTAACATAGTGATTTGCGCCGCGTTCTGTGCCGCATTTGTTCCCGTTCCACTGGAAAGTTTCTTCTGCAAATCCTTGATCTTCATCCTTGCTTCACTGAGCTCGCCTCTGGATTTACTAGCGGCTTTGATGTCGTCGGCCATCTTCTTTTTTTCATCCTCCAACTTCCGGATTGATGCCGTGAGGCTAGTAATCTGTTCATCCTTTACCAGGAGCTGAGCTTCCAGCTCCTTGACGCCTTTTTCCCGTTCCTTGAGACCATAGTAATCCAAAAGCTCTGCGTTGAGCTTCCTCTCTTTTTCCTGGAGCTGCTGGAGCCTGGCTTTCAAATCCCCGATCTCATCCACGGGTTTAATTCCACCTTTCCCATCATCTGGCTCTGGAAAAATGTCCAATCCATTCGATATAAGGTCTTCGATCTCTGGAAGAAGCAGCTCGTTTCTCTCGTTTTTGCGAACTACCACGTTAACTTGCTTCACTTCTTCCTCCTATTCAATGACAAAGAAAAAGAAGATTGGGAGCGTTGTTACGCAACATCGCATACCTCTTCACTCGGCGCTGGATTGTCCCCATAGGCAACGATCTCCTTGTCATTGCGCTGCTTCTTCTTGGCGATCCTCGCTTGAAATTCTGGACAAAAACTCCACACAGAGCATCGACAATCCGCTGGCAATGCATCCAAGAAAACCTACCGGCGGCATCTCTCTCGCGCTTGCTCTTGATGTGATTTAGCGCCAATGCCGCGACCGAGCAAGTGACCGCGAGCCCTACCCTCACCAACATCGATCGAGGACGCCGAGGAGGAGCTCAAGCGCGCCGCGGGAAGCTCCACCATAGCCACATTCCACGCAAGACAAATAAAATTAAAAACCCTACCAGATCAACGGTGTAGACGGGCGAGCGCAATCTCGACAGTTCCAAGCTAAGGGCGGAGATTAACGTGCGCCCCGCGAGATAGATTTGGGCCGTCAATCACTCCCGGCATTTTTGAAACGGACATTCTTTTCCCAAGGATAAACAAAAGCGCGGTAAAATAGTTATTCCCCGCATATTCTAGAAAACGGGGACCATCCATTTGGACCACTGAGAAACGAGTGGGCGACATTTAATTTGTTCACGATCAGGTCCATGGCTCGAGTCCTTTCTCGTGAAACTGCTTAGAAGACGAACACGTCCCCGGCTCGATTCCTCTTTATAAAAAAGAATGGCGCTTCGCTATTGGCCCACGTGTCGAGCAGACAATTAGAAAGGTGGAATTCTCTCTTTCTCTTTCTTGAGCTATATAAACTTTTGGTTTCTAGAGGAGTTCTTCGAGTTTTCTCGAGTTCTCTTGTTCTTCTTTTTGCCACTGCTTGGTGGAAATTTTTTTTCTTGGTACCATGGGTTCGTCGGCTGGATTGGAGGGTCCATTCCATTTCAAGCTCAGCAATGGAGCTTCGATCCCGGCGGTGGGTCTTGGAACTTGGCAAGCGGAGCCCGGTTTGGTTGGAAAGGCTGTGAAGACTGCCCTGGAAGTAAGATCCAAATTTTTTATTTGTTTCGCTGGATCCGGGACTGAATGTGGTTATTTGATCAGGTTGGCTATCGTCATATTGATTGTGCTAGCGTCTATGGAAACCAGAAAGAGGTAAGTAGTAGCTTTTGAGCTTTTGAGTTCTTTCTTTCAAGCTCTAAACGATTCGTGCGTTCTTGCTTAGATCGGCGAGGCCTTGAGCGAAGTTTTCAAATCCGGGATTGTCAAGCGCGAGGATGTGTGGATTACTTCTAAACTCTGGTAACAAAGAAGATCTCGTGACTCCTTTTTCACCTCTTGTGCTGGAATTAAACCAGGAACACCGACCATGATCCGGAGGACGTGCCAAAAGCGCTGGAGGCAACTCTCAAAGATCTCCAGCTCGACTACTTGGATCTCTATCTCGTAAGATCAAAAGAACTTTTGTGCCTGTCAACTTTAGAACTCTAGGATGATTGTAAACTTTTTGCTGACGATTCTTCTCTTGTCTAGATCCACTGGCCTATTCGATTCAAGAACAGCGTCCAAGGAATGAACACAAGCCCCGAGAGCTTCATCGCTCCAGACATCCCGGGGACCTGGCGAGCGATGGAGAAGCTCGTCGATTCCGGCAAAGTCCGAGCGATCGGCGTGAGCAACTTTTCCAGCAAGAAGCTCGAAGATCTGCTCAACACCGCGAGGATTCCACCCGCAGTGGACCAGGTGGAATGCAATCCACTGTGGCAGCAAAACAAGCTACGCCAGTTTTGCAAGTCCAAAGGAGTCCATCTCTCGGTAAGAAAGAGCTACGGTAATATCAAAGAAGAAAATCTCAAGAACATTGTTTACCGCAGGGATACTCGCCTCTTGGATCGACAGGAACGAGTGTGCTCAGCGACCCGGTTGTCAAGGAGATCGCCGAGAAGCTTGGAAAGTCCCCTGCACAGGTTGCTCTGAGATGGGGGATCCAATCTGGAAACTCTGTTCTTCCCAAGAGCACCAATGCCGACCGTCTCAAGTCCAACCTGGAGGTCTTCGATTTCACCATTGCAGAGGAGGACCTCCAAAAGTTCTCCAAGATCTCCCAGGTACTAAGTTCTTGGATCGTTGTTGGCAGAAGATCATAACTCTCGTGTCTGCTTTGTGTAGAAACGGGGCATGCCTGGGAATGAATGGGTGAACGACTCCACCAGTCCATACAAGAGCGTCAAAGAGCTCTGGGACGGAGAAATATAAACCGCTGCAAGCTTTGCCACGCTGATTTCTTCTGCTTGAATCTGTCACAACTTCCAAGTGAAGAACTTCTGATGAATAAGAAAGTTTGAAGTCCTGCCAATTCCAAGTCGATATTCTCCCAGCTATGTCGGTACGATTGCGAGTACTCTAGTGGAATATGTACGAGTTGTAGTCCTTATCCTGGTTGTGATTCATGAGAATGCTAACGCCATCTGTGTGACAAATGTGACTGGTAAACTGCCTCTTTGTCCTGGGTGTCTGCTCTGACGCGAAAGGCCCCAGAGTATCACTCTTAGGCCTCGGGACGATCTTGATCCCTCCCACAAATCTCTTGTTCTCGTCGTAGTGTAAAGTCGTTGCGAACTGGTTGTAAACTTTGCTTTTTCTTTTCCCAACTGGGCCGCCTCTGCTCGTAGCACCGGCAGCTCCAGCGGCAGCACCGGCTGCAGCTGCCGCTCTCGCTGCTTCACCAGGAACAATCGAATAGAACTGTCACAGAGATACCAAAGTCTTAGAAAACGAATGAAGAAGGAAAAAGCTTCAATGCATACCCGACGAGGAACTTTGCCTTCGTACTCCCGGAAGGGTGGAATCCACTCGGGCTGGTGTAAATACGTTCCAGGCTTCCTGGTGGATCGCCACTCGGGGTTGGCAGTCTCCTCAAGATACCACTCGGAAAATATCGAGGGCCGATGCCGCGAGGACTTCCACTTGGAATCCCCAAGGCTCTCGTCTACGTGATCAACACTGTGTATGCTCGACTTCCATAACGCGAGCTTGTTGTCCTCGGGACCAGGTACCATACGCAAGCTTGGTTTGAAAGGCCTCTCACTCAGAGAACCACTTCCAGGATCAACACGTTTGATGCCAGGCCTCCACTGGGAAAGAAAGAAAACTCAAGATGTTAGAGCGATGGAGAAAGAAAGATTCATACCCAAAGTTGCCGAGCTTGCAGACGACTCGGAGAGAGAAACTCGACGAAGAATCTCAATCAAAATCTCCTGGCAACGATTTAGCGATCGTGAATCGTCTGGCCATTGTTGTGTTCTTAGATTAAAATCCCAAGAAAGAGGAAAAGCGAGAAAGCATACCAGAGTTGGAGTGCGCGCGACCAATCCATCATCCAAGCTTGATACGCGACCTTTGGCGTCGGGGAAGGACACGGCCTTGCCCGGTCGATAGGGAGCTTCATAGCCAAGATCATGTGGTATGTATCGCATACCAGGCCGGAACTGGAAAAAATCAATGGCAAGAACACATTGCTCTCGGAAGAAACCAAAATGCCGCTGCTCAAGAGGAAACGATCTAGCGAACTAGAGGCGAGATTTCGCAATGCCGCCGCTCAAGAACAAGTGATCCAGCAAAATCTCGCAAGAATGTTACATACCGGCGCCTCGAATGTGCTGAAGCTGTCCAGGTACCCGGACGGCGGCGCCGTGGCGCATCTCTCCATCGCTGCCAAAAACCCCCAAACAACGTGCCCCTAAACCCAGACACATAAGCCCTAGTTCCCGCAGACGTGGCAGCCGGTTAACCACGTCATCCTTGATCGAATATACCCGCCTTAGCCGAGTGACGGTTCCGGCGGTTTCGGCGGTTCTGGTGGCCGGCAGTTTCCTTCAACTTCACACGAAACAACCAAACTGAAAAGAGCAAAAGTGTTGCCGCAAACTTCTCTCGAAAAAAATCTCTTTTTCCTCATCGATCTTCTCTCGAGGAAGAAGCGATCCATCGATCAATCCCTCAGTCGATCGATCGATCGACCCGATTCCCAGTAATTGAGGAGGAATCCTATCAGCGATGAGGGAGATCCTTCACATCCAAGGCGGCCAATGCGGCAACCAGATCGGTGCCAAGTTCTGGGAGGTGGTGTGTGACGAGCACGGCATCGATCCCACGGGAACTTACCACGGCGACTCGGACCTCCAGCTCGAGCGCATCAATGTCTACTTCAACGAGGCCAGCGGCGGCCGCTACGTCCCCCGCGCGGTGCTCATGGATCTGGAGCCCGGTACCATGGACAGCGTGAGATCCGGCCCCTACGGCCAGATCTTCCGCCCGGACAACTTCGTGTTTGGCCAAACCGGAGCCGGGAACAACTGGGCGAAAGGCCACTATACCGAGGGGGCCGAGCTTATCGACTCGGTGCTGGACGTCGTGCGAAAGGAGGCCGAGAGCTGCGACTGCCTCCAAGGTATATCGATCGATTCTCAAAGATCCGAAAGAACACGATCGCCCAAAACGTTGTTCACTGACACTGGCTTGTGTGGATTTGGATGAACAGGTTTCCAGGTCTGCCACTCCATGGGTGGCGGGACGGGATCCGGCATGGGGACGCTGCTCATCTCCAAGATCAGGGAAGAGTACCCGGACCGGATGATGCTCACCTTCTCGGTCTTCCCGTCGCCCAAGGTGAGCGACACGGTGGTGGAGCCATACAACGCAACTCTCTCGGTTCATCAGCTTGTGGAGAACTCGGACGAATCCATGGTGCTTGACAACGAGGCCCTGTACGACATATGCTTCCGCACGCTCAAGCTCACCACCCCAACCTGTGAGCGATCGATCCCACTCTCTCTTTCGGGGAACTTGAAAACGAAACCATGCATAAAAATGAGATTCTGGGACTTGGGCGCTTTGCATTCTTGCTGCCCTGCTCTTGAAACACCTGGAAACGTAAGAAAAACCAGAAATTGGAACTTGGGCGATCGGAATTCTGTGAGAACAACACTGATAACTTCGTGTTTTTGCAGTTGGCGATCTCAACCATTTGATCTCGGCGACCATGAGCGGCGTGACGTGCTGCCTGCGCTTCCCGGGCCAGCTCAACGCCGACCTCCGCAAGCTGGCCGTCAACCTCATCCCCTTCCCGCGCCTCCACTTCTTCATGATCGGCTTCGCGCCGCTCACGTCGCGCGGCTCGCAGCAGTACCGCGCGCTCACGGTGCCGGAGCTGACGCAGCAGATGTGGGACGCCAAGAACATGATGTGCGCCGCGGATCCTCGCCACGGCCGCTACCTCACCGCCTCGGCGATGTTCCGGGGCCGGATGAGCACCAAGGAGGTGGACGAGCAGATGCTCAACGTCCAGAACAAGAACTCGTCCTACTTCATCGAGTGGATCCCAAACAACGTCAAGTCGAGCGTGTGCGACATCCCGCCCAAGGGATTGAAGATGTCCGCGACGTTTGTGGGCAACTCCACGTCCATCCAGGAGATGTTCAAGCGGGTGAGCGAGCAGTTCACGGCCATGTTTCGGAGGAAGGCGTTTCTTCACTGGTACACCGGCGAGGGGATGGACGAGATGGAGTTCACGGAGGCGGAGAGCAACATGAACGATCTGGTGTCCGAGTACCAGCAGTACCAGGACGCGAGCGCGGACGAGGAGGGCGAGTTCGAGGAGGAAGAGGGCGAGGGTTAGAGCACAGGGGATTTGTAGGTTTTGCACAGGATTTGCCGCCATTCTTTCCTCTCAATTCATGAATTCAATGTATTCTACTCGTTGATCACGACCGCGTAAGATCGCGAGAGGATTAGGTTCGCGCGCAAAATTTAAATTTTAAAAACGAATATTCGTCCGTAGTTTTAGGGTTCTTAACATGTTCCAGTAGACAGGTCATTGCCAGGCCGATTGAAATGGGATCTCTGGCAATGGTTTAAAGCTGGACTTAAACAATCGATCTATGCTCGAATCGACACCCCCAGCGAAAGAGATCGCTAGGGTAACGCCTCTTGAAACGAGCAATGGCAAGAAAGAGCTCAGACTAAGAGTACCAGTTCTCGATCACGAAGATTTCAGAAGCAGAACTGGCTAAAAACTGGCAAATTCATCATCACAGCACCCTTGAATTCCAAATTCCTGAGAAATCTAGCACCGTTTTCGAAAGAGCCTGCTTATCCAGATTATCTACAGGCTACCCGGAGCGATGCGGGAGAATTTTGCCACTGTACAACACATCGCGGGCGACGAGAGAAAAAGCCCCAATGTTCTGCCTAACGAGCGGCGAGAAGAAGCAAAATTCTAGATCTAGAGAGCGTGATTGTTGAAATTCGTGATTGGCAGCGCCTACGAAACAACTGCCCACGCTCCCCACAAGGAATCTAGCAGTAGTACCATTCAAGAGCTGCAAAGGGAGCAAGCACAGCTCTAGTACACACACACTGCCACAAGAACCCTAAACCTGCGCCGCCCGGGACAAAATAAATACCCTAAAATCTGCCCTAATTCCGCCCGTGACGTGCTATGGATCGAACACGCGACTGTGCACTAAAATCTCCAGGACAAAATCAACGGTCGCTACGCAATATGACCGTTGGCTTCAAACCATGCCTTTGTTCGTAGAAGCCCTAGCGAGGTAGAGGGATTTTGGATTGAGCAATGCGGGTTTAGGTTATCGCGATCTAGCCCAGCGCGCCGTCTGTGAGCGGCAAGGCGCTCACGATTCTCGGTGATTTCCAGCGGATCGCGGCTCCGGCGCCATGAGATCGAGCAAAGTTCCTGGATACACGCCCGGGAGTGCGCCAAACAGCGCGCAGAAAGATCCACACCATGTAAGTTCTTAGATGAGCTTGGCGGTTGTAGAGATCTCTGGAAATATGGTGCTGAGATGAGACGATCGCGCTGTTTGCAGCAAAAGGAGAACTGCCTTAACTCGCCGTTTGAGAAGAGGAGGAAGACCGTATGTAAGGATGTGTTTGGAGTCAGGCAGCAGACGCCTCAAGCCCCAGAGACGAGGTGCTCGCGTCCTGTGCTCACCACGCTGTTGGATGCAAGCCCCTCTCATCCGCTCCAGACACACCAAAGCGTGGCGTTGGAGGGTTCTCTATCAGAGGCTTGCAGTTTGTCCAGGGCAGATGTCGACGCGTTGTTAGCCATGAAGATGGCTGGAAAGACAAAGTTTGATTTCAAGGTATTTTCTTCTTTTCTGGTGATTTTGTGCGACGGGGATTGTTGTGTGTGACAGGGTAAGAACGAGCAGATGAGTGACTACATAAAGAAGCTTCGAGTTTGTATCAGGCAGTTCCAAGACCAGGAGGTGAAGCTAAGTTTTGAAAAGGAAAACCTTGAGAGCGCGCTTGACGGAGAAAGACGCGATCGAGAAGTAACTGGTACGATATACCCGGTGTTGCCTGTGTCTGACTTTTTCTCTTCCAATTGCAGAGGCTTTTCGAAGGCAAAAGCAGGATGAGCTGGAGCAAGGTCTTTCTGAGCTCAAGAATCTATGTACATCACTGGAAGATAGATTGATGTCAGTCATGTCGGAAAAGGAGGTTTGTGACCAGACGTTTGTTTAAGCATGAGTTGATTTTATCTGGTTTGTGTAGTCTTTATTGTGTGCTAGAGAAAAAGATATGGAACAACTAAAAGCAACGGGTAAAGAAATGGCTGGACTTGTTGAGGAGCTTGAAAGATCACGGAGTGAAGCCACGAGCTTGTCGAATCAGGTAACTTTTTTCTTTTTCTTTTTCTTTTTAAACCACAAATATACCAATCTTGTCCATATGTCAGGTGCTGTCGCTTCAAGATCTCAACAAACGCTTGCAGGAGTATAATACTAGCTTGCAACAATATAACAGCAAATTGCAAAGTGATGCATCAGTCTCGGCAGAAGCTTGCGGGAAACTTCAAAAGGAAAAGACCACCTTAATGGAAACTTTGGGCAGTTTACGTGGCCACACCGCGGCACTCCAAGAACAAATAGATATGCTTAAGGTAGAATTCTTTTCTAGCTGTTTCTTTCTTGGCCTCACCTTCCCCGTCAATTGCAGGCGACTCTGCAGGAAGAGTTAAAACAGAAAAAAGCTTTGATAGACGAGGCGGAAAGGCTACGGGCAGAAGTTCAACGCATTACTGACGAGCGTGACCAGCATGCAGCTCATGTTCAGTCTCTGATGGAAGAAAACAATACGTACAAGGAATGTACTGGTAAGTCGGCTGCAGAGCTTGAGTTTTTAAGCAGTAAGGCAATCGCATTGGAGGTAACGTTTTTGAACTTCCGTTTTATTCAAACCATTATACGTGAATTTCATTTAAAGGAATGCTATACTTCTCAAACCGAGCAAGTTAAAAGTTTGCGCCAGCAATTAGACGTTGCAAACCACAAACTGCTGGTACGAAATGCCCAATGCCATGGATTGTTCTATCCAGTTCTTTTCTTTATCAACGCAGATAACCGAGCGCTCATATCTTCAAGAAAGGACTGAAGTTGCGGAGAACAGAGAGCTAATAGAAGATCTGACGAATCGTCTGGCTGAAGCTGATATCCGAATTCGCGAAGGTGAAGAAATTCGTCGCAAGCTCCACAACACTATTCAGGTATACTGAAAACGTCATCTATCGTAATCTAACCAGAGAGTCACTTCCAGGAAATGAAAGGAAACATTCGGGTGTTTTGTCGAGTGCGTCCAATCTTTCAAGAAGAAGGTGATCCAGAAGCAGGCATTTCCGTGGTGCAGTATCCGAACACAACAGACTTGCTTGGCCGTGGAGTGGAACTCGTTCCCATGCAAGGTAAGTTTGCGTTCTCTTGCGAAAGCTATTGAATCCTCCTTTCCAAAGCAGGTCAAAGGCACTTCTTTTCTTTCGACAAAGTGTTTGGTCCTGAAACTGGCCAAGAGAGCGTGTTTACAGAAATATCTCAACTTGTGCAAAGTGCTCTGGATGGATACAAGGTAATTAAGAAAAGCGTATCTTTTCTACTGCCACTCATATGATGACGCTGTAACACTTCGCAGGTGTGTATATTTGCGTACGGTCAGACTGGCTCAGGAAAAACACACACAATGCTTGGCAATCCCGAAGTAGATGAACTGAGGGGGGTGATTCCGCGGTCTCTGGAGCAGATATTCAGATCTAGTCAAGAGCTGATCACTAGAGGCTGGACATTCAGGATGCAGGTATATCTGATATTTTCTTTCTTTGTGGTTTTGACAAATGCACGCAGGCGTCTATGCTGGAAATTTACAACGAGCAAATACGAGATCTGCTGGGTTCTGGTCGTGCTAGCACTACAGAGGGTGGGACTCCGATGAAATGTCAGCAGCAGTACCAGGTGAAGCACGATCAAACTGGCAACACATATGTCACAGATCTCACTATGGTTGATGTCACCAATTGGAAAGAAGTATCGTCACTCTTGCATCGGGCTACTGTAAGCAGGTAATACTTTGTTTTGGTTCGCGTATGCAAAACACCACTGTTTTCAACTCTTTGATTCTTTGTTTGTTCTTTTTCTTTGTAGATCTGTGGGTAAAACGGCACTGAACGAACAGTCGTCGAGGAGTCATTGCGTTTTTACACTACGCATCACCGGGTCCAACGAGGTAACAAAAAAGCCTAGTGGCGACTTCAAGGCTATGCATAATTCTCTTCCTTTTTTAACAGAGCACCGAGCAAGAAGTCAATGGGGTGTTGAATCTCATTGATTTGGCGGGGAGCGAACGCCTCTCCCGTAGTGGATCAACTGGAGATCGTCTCAAAGAGACGCAGGTACAATCAAGGCTCGTGCTCGCAAAGAATTTATGTGTTGACTCCATCGAGTTTTCTTGTCCCGCAGGCCATAAACAAAAGCTTGGCCAGCCTCGGTGACGTGATTGCCGCGATTGCCAACAAAGAACAACACGTTCCCTACAGAAACTCCAAGCTCACGTATCTTCTCCAGGTAAACAAAGAGATATGGCTTTGGACTTTGAGTTGCTTAGCGAGGATCTTATATGTACTGAGCGAGATTTTCTTCCCCTTTTTTTCATCTTGCAGCCTTGCTTAGGTGGAGATTCGAAGACGCTGATGTTCGTCAACATCGCCCCCGAGGCCAAGTCGCTGCACGAATCTCTGTGCTCGCTCCGGTTTGCGGCCAAAGTGAATGCTTGCGAGATCGGTGTGCCGCGAAGATTGGCTGTGGCTCCTCAGCCAACGAGACTGAGCTACGAGTGATCCAAGCAAGAAAAATGTAGACAAAGGATGGATAAGCGTTGGGATTATGTTTTAACGTGTTAAAGGGCAAGGGATCGATCCGCATTACTTTTTAGGGCTAAGCTTTTAGGGATTATGGATTTAATCCGACGGCTTAGGATTTAGGGCTCTTTATGATTCGACGGCTACGATTTGGGACCCTTGATTTAGATCCGACGGCTAGGACTTAGGGTTTTTGAGGTTTGGTTTCTAGGGTTCTTGAGCCGCAGGAAGAAGGGAGGCGGCGATGACGACGAGATTCAAGAAGAGCAGGAAGAAGAGGGGCCATGTCAGTCACGGGCATGGGCGCATCGGCAAGCACCGCAAGCATCCGGGAGGGCGCGGTAACGCGGGAGGCCTCCACCATCACCGGATCCTCTTCGACAAGTATCATCCGGGCTACTTCGGCAAGGTAGGAATGCGCTACTTCCATCTCAACAGGAACAAGTACTACCGCCCGACGGTGAATGTGGAGAAGCTGTGGTCGCTGGTGCCCGAGGACGTCAAGGCCCAGGTGAAGAAGGGGGGCAAGGAGGCGCCGCTGATCGATGTGACCGAGCACGGCTTCTTCAAGGTGCTGGGCAAGGGTCGCGTCTCGGGCGACTTCCCCATCGTCGTCAAGACCAAGTTCATCTCCAAGCACGCCGAGAAGAAGATCAAGAAGTGCGGCGGTGCCGTCGTGCTCACGGCGTGATTGGGTCGATCGATCGATCGCGCTCTCGGGGTTTCTCGAGGCGTGGATGGATCAATTCGATTGTTTCTTTTCTTTCTTGTGTTACGAATTTTGACAATACAAAGACCCTTGAGCTCAATAAGCATGTTTTGTCTTAACTAAATATGTAGCTTAACATTAAGTAAACATGTTTAAGTAGGGGTTAAGTTGGAGTTTAGGGTTCTTCGGCTATTGAGTATATTCCTTTGGTGTTAGAAATACCTTTTGTGGATTAGGGTGAGAGGGTTTTTGGGCGAGAGCGATGAGGGGCGATGAGATCTGGAAGCGATCAGTGTGGGGCAGCGCGCTGGCGCTCGCCAAGATGCAGTGGCCATACCTCGCCGGATTCGCGGTCACATTTGGCATCGTCCTCAACATGTCGCTCAATCTCACGGGTGCGTATGCTTTTGCGATAGAAATTTAGCTCCAGCGATTCACTGAATCGATCGAGTCGCGTAGAGGAACAAGCGAAGAAGTCGCCCTTCGTCCAGCTCCATCGGAAAAAAGATCAAGAGCACCATCACTGGTTCGTTCTCTCCTTTGCTTTTTTCTTTCTTTCTTAGTTTGTTTATCTTCGTCTTTTGGGCACAGACGAGGAATCGCGTGAATAAGAACACTCTTTCTTTTCTTTTTTCCTGTGGATTGGATGGATCTTCTCCCAAAAACAAGACTTTGATAAGAATTTTTTGCTACTTCTATGCCGATAGAGCTTGGCAGTGGACAATGTGGCTCTTTAGTCGGCTTCTTCCCGCAATGTTGGAGAGCAAATTCGTCACGAATGTTTTAAAGTGGCCCTTCCCAGCGATGGTCTCCCATACCTGTGAAATTCTAGCGTTACTACTGCCACCGCCGCTACCATCGTTACCATCGCCCACGTAGCTTCCATCGCCCACGTCCACCACGGTAATACTCATATTGTTCCTCACGATGCAAAGCTTCCCATCCAACGGTAGCAGCGCCGCCGCCTCCAGCGCCCGGGAATTCCCCAGGTGGAATTTGCTATCCACGGATCTCTTCCACGTGTCGCTCACTGGGTCGTACACCCGGAGCTTGCACCCGTCGGGGCAATCCAGAGCGTACAACGTCCCCCCCAGCGCCACGCTGGGATTCCGCCATCCGCTCACCATTCCGTCGAGAATGGGCGACCAGACGTTCTGCCCCGGAATGTACACCTCGCTCATCACCTGCCGGTGTGAACCCAGCCCCTTGACGAACCAGTTTCCTCCGTACACCACCCCGATGAATGGGACCATGGCCGTGCTCATGTCCGAGATGTACGACCACCGGTTCCGTGCAGGGTCGTACACCTCGGCGCTGCGTAGCGAGCGATGGACGCCCTCGCATTCTCCCCCCGCCACGAAGAGGCAATTGTCGATCACGCCGGATCCAAAGAAGTGGCGCCGCTTGAGCATCTCGGGCGCGCGGTGCCATCGATTCGTGCGCGCGCTGTAGAACACCACCCGGCGCATCGATCCCTTGGCGGGATCCTTGCCGCCGAAGAGATAGAGATGGCATCCGCCCAGCACAGCGCAGCCGAATCCCAGCGCCTCGCAGAACTCCTGGGGGATGGGCGGTAGCGGCTGCCACTGCTGGAAGCGCGGATCGAATGCGTGCCAGGAGATCCGGCCGCCCTCTTTCTCGTTGTCGCGCTTGATCACGAAGACCCACTCCTCCGCCAGACCCGCGATCCGGCGCTGGGTGTAGAAGAAATTGCCGGCGAGCAAGCGATGCCAGCGCTTGCAAACGATTCGCAGCGCGCGGTGGTGGAATCGCGGGACGCGGATGAGGCAGGCGATGGCGAGGTCGTCTGGAAGGCCCGGGATGAGCTGTGGATTTGAGCCGTTAGATCGGGCTCGGGATCTTGATCGGACGGCTGGAGGCGGCTTGATCGCTTCTTCCTGGAGGACGCAGTGCCTGGCGGTGGCCGGGACGAATTTCTTGGCGCTGTGGGAGGAGATTGCGTTGGGGGCTTCCGCGCGGCAGTAGCAGGATGCGCTCTCGACCTGGCAAGAGCAGCTTTGCGATTGATTGATCGATCTAAAGCTTTGATCTCTCTCACCTGTGGGGGATGGTTGAGTTTCTTGCTGGATCGCCCGGATGAACTCGCCGATGCGGCGGTCGCCTTCATCTCGCTGCTGTTCCTCTTAGCGCTGCTGTTCATCGCCAATCAATCAATCAATCAATCATAGCCTCCTCTGTTCTTGAGCGATCTTTCTCTGCTCTTGGATCTTCCCTGTGGGCTTGATTCCTCCCCCGCTGCTCGACATTTCGCGAATCCGGCGACTTGGGTCAGCGATTCATGACCCTGTCTCGCATTGGGCGCGCTCAAAATCCCAGCTTGCCGCCCGGATTCCGCAACGCCCGAGCAAGCCCAGTCCCAATTGCCATCGCTCGCTCGCTCTAGATTCGTCCCCGGGGGCGTTAATTGCGAGAGAGCAAGCGAAGGGCACTACGGAATGGAAGAAAGGTATAAGTGGGAAGAAGAGATTGAGAGGAATTTGAGAGAGAGATTAGGTGCCCAATGCGACGCTCTTTGTCACCCAGGTCCACTCGAATCTATTGTTTTTTGCCGCCGCGCCACTGTTGTCGAGCCAACGCGAGAGCGCAGTGGCGAGATTTCTAGGTGAATAGGGAAGAACAAGGAAAAAAGAATGAAAAATAAAGGACTAAGAGGCTATCTAGGTAGACGTGCTTGCTTGCTGCGTGTAGGTGGATTGGATTGGATTGAATGGATTCGCGTGCTAAGCGCAGCTTAAACTTGGAAGAACTTTCACTTGGGAGTGTTTGTTTGATCGCCCCAATGGCCGTACGGCCATCACGAGTGGAGATTGATTCTTTCTATGGCGTTCTTTCCCTTCCGGATTTGAATGAATTCCCTCTGGTAGCATCGTCGTCTTTGAAAGTTTTGCGAGATTTTTCGCCCAAACATTGAATGATCTGATTGCATAACAGTCACCGGTCTGTTAATGCGATCAACGGGAGCGACGAAACCAACAAAAGCTCCATCGCCCAGGGGCCAGGATCCTTCAATTCTCCGCTCCAGCGGAAGTTTGTTTTCTCCTCCCCCTGAGAGCTCTTTCGATCGAATCAATGCCCGCATTTGTTGTAGAGAGAGCCGGGCTTTTGTTTTTCCTTCCTTGCCTTTTCTCTTTCCTTTATCTCGTGCGAATATGCTCCACTTTCGAAAGAACAAAAGCTTCCTTGAACAGCAAACAAACAAAGGTTAGCGAAACCGAGATTTCATTCGGCTTGCTTAACTCCGTGTAGATGGATTACACTCACAAGTCGGCTATAATGCGCTCAATGAGGGCCTCTTTCTTGCGAGAGCTTCTTTCCTGGCGAGATAGAACGTTCTTATGCTGAAAAAGAAGCTTTTTTTTTCTTCTATAGATCTTACCTTTCCGTCCAAAGCAAGCTGACGCCAACCGTAGTTCTTCGCAGCCTTTCTCTTTTGCTCGTTCGGCCTCGGCAGCTGTCTAAACAGCGATCTACGACGGTAAAAGCACACTGTCAGCCGTATTGAAAAATGTAAAGTAAAGATCTTGACGCACCTTTGGCTTGCATTTGTACAATCCTCGACTTTCTTTCCACGGTATCTTCCTGGCTAGAGCTTGCAGATCTAAAATAGTGTCTTTGAAGGAAAGTTCGAGCAGACTTGGATAGGACTAACCTGGACTTGCGTATGCTGTGAATTCTCGAAAATGGAGCTTCCATTGCCTTGTGGATATGCTCCTTTGGGTGCTGTTTCAACTCCACCTTTGCTAGAATTTATCTGTGAAGCAACTGGTATCAGAGAGAAACATGGAACATGGATGCCAGTTACCTTTTCAGGTTGTCGAATGTCCTCTGCAAAGGGGGATCATATGCATTCCTGGTGCCCGTACTCGTTCCCAATCTCCTCCTACCAAACAAAACGAGAAACTCAAGCAGAACGAACGGCTTGCCTTTTAATACCTTCCAGTACCTGGGCAACCAAAGGATTAAGGGAAATTCCATGAATCGCCATAGCCAAATGACAAGAGTCAAGCTGCCTTCGATCACCTGTACGTAGAGTTTAGAAAATAGTTCTAGTTTTTCAGTCAAAAGCCCACTTACCTCTTCACTAGGATAGTGAAATGTAGCTGGCCTCAAGTTGTGATCATGCCTAGAAGTCGAAGTTGCACGTCAAATATCCTTTTGACTTCTACAAGTTGTCATGAGAACTCGCCTACTGCATCAAACGCATGGATGATGAAACTGACAGTGAAAGGCATATACCTGTTGTAGAGCGTTTCGTGGACTCCGTTACTATACCCCGTATCCGTGCATAGACTTCACTGCCTGTTGAAAGTCACCTCTCCGAGCTCGAGAGATTCTGGAAAAGATGAGGGCCGTTTGTCGTGGAATCAAGCAATTTACCTTTCTATGTCTCCAGACTCGAAGTTCTAGTCAAACTGAATCATAGAGTTTGAAACATAGAAAAGAAGACACTTGTTAGGGCTCTGCTTTTACTATTTTAGGCCCGTTTTTTACCCTTACTAACTAGGTTTAGGACAAAAGAAACATAAATGGTTGTAAATATAATATATATATAGACAGATATGTATGTATGGTCAGAGATAATGCTAGAGGTATGCAGGTGGATTGTTCCCAATGGTTTTCCTTCGGTGCTACAAGGAAGCTTTTGTTTACGAACAACAATGATTTCAAAAATGGTGATACAATGTGCAAAGGTGATCATTTTTATTGGACTAACGTTATTGCAAACCCAGAGCTCTGGTTTCAGCGGTTGGGTTTTGCTCCTAACATGAGCTTTCATAGGATGGAAGATCAAAGTTTCTTGGTTGGTGCAGATAAAAGGTATGTTTTGGTGCAAAGTTTAAAGATTGCTAACTCAAGGGTAGGATGTGAAGCCTTTCCAAAAGCTTCTTGTGAGGAAAATAACATTTTCGAGACGAGTATCAGTCTCGGAACGTACGGTCGTTCCGCCAGCTTGAATAGGTTGAAGACTTTGGCTGAATATAAAAATCATTTGCAACTTTTCTATGTAGGCAACAAAATCTTCAAAGCAATTTACAAAGATTTTTGAAGCAATAATTGTTTTAGTTATTATAGTGGAAAATTTTGAAGTTTAGTTTAAATGCTTGGAGGAGAAACGTTTAGGGGAAGGGGAAATATCTACCTCTGAGCTTGACAACCACTTATGGGAAAGCATTTTCTCAGCAGTAGAGCCATGGCTCTTGAGCGCTTGCACAAATCCTTTGCACTCCGGCTGCACCTTGAGCTTGAGCTTCTCGATAACCTCACCAAGCTGATGGAGATCAGAAGTCTTGGTGTACTTCCCATTCACCAAGGTTGTCGGTGTATAGCCCGTAAGCAATACCTTCATCTTAGTGCCAGCTTTGGAAACAAGCTCTAAGTCAATAAGCACGTAGCACGCCCTGTCAGGAGACCAGATCATGTTGTCCAGTCTGACGTCTCGATGAACCAGCTCCAGCTTGTGCAGAGCAGCCAGAGCACTAAGCATGTCCTGCGCAAGGGTCATGCAGTCCTCCGATGTAACCTTAAACCGTGCCGGGATTCCCAATGGCTGGGTTCGGACCATGTACACCCCCTTTGAAGAAACTGTTGGCATCACCGCAGCAGAAATGAGCTGCTGAACACCGGCATTGTATGCCCTTTCGATGTGTGATTTAGTAGTTCCATACTTTTTTTTGTAATCTGCCCACTTGTTGATGCTCTTTACGCATCCCTTGCCATCAAGCTGGATAGTGGACAAGTCCCTCTCGTGTTTTTTGAAGAGCGGCAGCATTCTGAGAAAGAAAAACCAAGAATGAAAAGGTTGACATAAAAAGAAACAGAAACGACATACCCGCTAGGTACCATGTCCTTGCAGATGCTTAAGGACAGGAAGTAGAGCTTGAAGTAAAGTAGAACAAGCTTGACACGGTCGTCAATAAGGTTCAAGTTGTACGCAGGGCTTAGTGGCTCCACCTCAAGACCTGAAGCGCTTTTGACAAAAAGTTGCCATGTCATGCCACCAACAGCAAACGCGAGCACAATCTTGATGTTCCCGAGCGCCCAGCTCGGCACTTTGTTGAGCTTGGACGAGATCTCGTTCACAGCCACCACGAAATCGTCGTCATCTGCTTTACCCTCCCCCAACATGAACACAAAGTCGACGTACTGAAACAGGAAGTCAGGTCTCTTCCTCGTGCCGAGCCTTGGCGTCTGCATGGATGCGGAAGAAGCAGCTGTCTCCATTGAAAACTGGTAATCCAGTCGGTCCCCAGAAGCCGAGAAGTCCTTGAGATATTGGAACACCTTACAAAACGCCAGAATGCGAGAGTTGGCCACAATATCTCCTGAGCCGGTCAAACCAGGGTCAATAGCACTCGCGACGGCCACCCCCAGAATGCTATCCGAAAAGTAAAACGGGCTTCCACCATCCAAGCCACGGGGTAGCCTTGCCACGCTTTCGACAGAGCGAATTGCCACAGGTATCAAGCCCACCAAGCACCGGATATCTTCCAAGTAGGCTATGAGCTCGGACTTGGTTGGCTCACCTGCTTGGACCGAGGTGAAGGCAGGAACAGCAGCGATGAGAGTGGCAACCTCGGCTCCACTATCAGTGCGCGAGAGGTACTTCCTTCTCAGAGATACAGAGACCGCTGTGTCGCTTAGAAAGCCCGGCACTTCGCGCTGCCAAACATCTTCCCCGGCCTCACTCAGGATGCTGTAGAGCTCGCCCTTTTCAACCTCGGTCAGACCCTGGAGGTTTGCAAAGCGCTCCCTCGCGTCCATTTACTGACCCCTGACCTCAGCACGAACGACCAGCCTTTCTCATCCATCCACGATCTTACTTTATCTTCAGGTACCCATACCTGTCTTCGCGATAACCTTGTTAGAACTACTTTCAAGCCCCGAGTGTCACATCAAAACAGCAGTGCCGAATTGCGCAAAACCGGGAGCTTGCCCTCGCCCAACAAAGACGGCGGGAGAACAACCAGCCACAACTGCTGCCTCCGGCCACCCCACGATCATTTCCCCTTGTGTGAAGGTGTCGGATGGTGCTGGATACTATCTAACCCTGGCCCCTCATCATGCCACCCACAATGGCCACCATGCCACACACAACCCTAAAACAATGGATTGCTGAGTTGATCCTTGGATGAACCAGCCCCTCCACATCTTGTAGCATCGATCACTCCCCAGTATGAGGGAAAACATTGAGAAAGAAAATAAAAAACTTTCCATACTCCTTCATTAGCCACGTCCCATATGTCCTATGGTCCATATGACAGTCTGTAACATCACTCCCCCTGTCCTTAGGGAACACTAGCAGATTCGAGCTCAGCCTGCATGATCCAAGTGTCTGTTTTAGAACAGTGTGGCCAAAGGTGGAAGAAGTCTGAAGTGCTGCTTCAATTCGGAAATGTGGAACACATCATGGAGTTTTGTTGACATGGGAAGCTTTAGGTGAAAAGCAACTTCATTGATCTTCTCGACCACTAAGAATGGATCAAAGAACCTGGGATGAAGCTTGGAGTGAGCAGCAGTGGAAATGAACATAGACGTAGTCCCTAACCTCAAAAGTCTGAGAAGATTTGTGGCGATCAGCGAAATGTTTCATACTATCTGAGCTGCAATCGATCACTGATGGACAAGCTGATGGAGATCTATTGACAAGGACAACTATTTCACACATTGGAAGTGTCTTTGAGCTTTAGTTTTGTGTACCATCCACAGCAAACTGTGAAGGCATATCTCGATGGCTACACTATGGATTTTCCATTGTCCTGGTACAAGTGGCTCCCCTTCACTGCATTTGCATACAACATGGCTTTTCACCCTAGGAGCCTCTCCTTTCTTAGTGGCAGACAGGTGGATAAGTTCCTTTTCCTTTTCAAAACTGACTGTTTCTGAGGCTGCCAAAAGGAATTGAGAAACTTGGGATCTCAGTCCAAAATAATTTCGTGTGGAAGGCCATGAAAATGAATGACCTCGGAACAGAACTGCTCAACGACCCTCCTTGGCTGTAGCAGTGGATTTCGTTTGTATAAACCAGCCGACCTTGGTGAAACGATTCACGATCACAAATATGGCACCTCGGACAGAACGAAGGCCGACAGTAAA